GCCGATGACGTCACTGTCAGGAAGCGATTTCGGCGGTGCAAGGTACGCAAGTACCGGTCATCATGGGGCGTGGTCACCCTGGGTCTGCCTGTTCGTGGCCTGTCAGCGGTCCGCCCTGTCTGTCTGCAACGTTGCATCAAGTTGGTAACGGCAACACGGGGGCAACCGAAGGTTCGTGCAATATAGGCGTGGGTGGCTCCCATCTGTACCATACCCAAGGCTCGTTCACGTTGTTCGACTGTGAGTCGTGTCATTCCTTTAATGTTTTTAATCACTGTGGATGTCTGACTTGCCGATGAAATCGTTTTATACCCTTACCCGCACGTGCATTTGCAGTTGTCCGTGGTGCATTTTTTTCACTTTTCTGCATACACTATTGTTGTATTTAGGTTATGTGTTTTAGATAGACTTCATCGAAAAAAAATTATACTTTGTCTGAAATTTATATTTTAAGTTGGTAAAGTTTCTTTTCGACGTCAGTTTATATGGCAAAGATAACAAAAAGAGTCGAATAAGTGGACGATACCTATTGGTTAAATGCTGATTTCCCCGTGCGGCATACGAAATGTTGATAAATCTCGATTCGGAGGCAAACAGAACTGAGCATGTAATGTTGGAAATATTCAATTTTGGGAATAAATTGTATTGCATTTCAAATAATTACATTTACAATCAAGCTGGAAGACATGATAAGACTAATCATGAAGTAGCCTAAATTAGACTTAAACGTGATAATGAACAGAGGGTTGTAGTTAGTTGCTTCCATTTCTTGCGATAACAATGGATTATGTTGTTCTTGTTTGCAATGTATTTGACAAATATCTGAATATGGTTAACTGCATGGTTGTATGTACAAAATTCAAACATGACAGTATATTTTGTGAATTCTAGTTTGATATTTAGATTACTATTGATAAATGTTTCAACCTGTAACAAAACTCCCAGGCGTGTTCACATTAACAATACATATGTGATAACTCTTCTCTACAGCATTTCCGGATTGCAGAAATATCACCAACTAAGTAATTCTTTCTTGAGATTGTTCCAAAAAACATTTATATTGAAAAGCGAACAGCTTACCGTCCTTTGTACATTTTCTCTCGTATGAAACATCTTTTCAATGAATAGTAGGATGAAATAAACCATTCACGTATTCTGATACTTTAATACGTATGTCACCCGTGCTTTTTTGTCATAAAAGATCCCAGATCCCTTTTCGTATCAGAAAAAAACAATGTTGACGCTTTAACGATTTAAATTTAGTGATCTGTTTGTCATGACAATTTTCCAAGCTTCTATCTTCCAAGATAGTCCAAATTTGTTCCGTTTATTTTATATAATCTTCAATGCTTAGAAAACCATTTTCATTACACATATCTCTAATTCAATATACCATGATGAGACACTGAAAATAGACGCGATAGTACTGGGTGTAATAATCATTCACAGTCTTCTAGTGACAAGTGTGTTGAGAGTCCCACGATCAGTGGACGGAAGGTCACCATGTCAGAACAAGCAGTATTCAGTAAGTGCTCTTGCAAAGCCCTGTGGTTGATATTCATAACGGTTTTGTATGATATTACAGAAGCAGATTGAATGATAAATGATTGATGCAAAAATCTGATGGTCAGGATAAGAGTTTTATACACATCACTTTTAGGTCTGGTTATTTGTTTATCGAATGAAAGAGAGAACAGATCATATTTATATCTGGGCGATGGGGCAGCCTAGTGGTTAAAGCGTAGGATATCCGAAGACATGGGTTCGATTCCCCACATGGGTACAATGTGGGAAGCCCATTTTACGAAATATTGCTAAAAGCGGCGTAAAACCATTCTCACTCACTCACTCACTTAAATATATCTGAATAAAGACAATCTCAGACCTCTTATGACTGTCATTAATCTTTATTACAGTTAGTACTTACTGTTACAATACTTATGTGGCAATGTCATCAATGTCAACCATATAATGCATAATGATCATCATAAGTTGGATAACCTACTTATCATAACGTGATACCGATAGTGCTTGTAGAAGTACATATATATTAGGTTGCGTATTTCAATGGTGTTGCACAGGTGTATGTTTTATATCGCTAAATCGAGCCCTGGTGAATATTTATTATTTATTTCCTGTCAGCAAATTTAGAAAAGTAATTTAGAAATTCAAAGCACATCCTCAACAACAATCACGAGTTTTTTTAGCTTCTTGTAATGTTAGTCTTGTGATGTGTTCTATTTCTACCCTGTGCCCATCTTGTCATGTGCATGGACTGCGCACCTGCACTGCGCAAATGTCACGTGTACCGGGCGCTCATACGTGGTACTGTGAGAGTGTACAATGAATGAGAATGTATTATGAATCATGAAGACGTCTCAAAGTTAAAACTGATTAACAAAAGCGTCATTGTGTCTGTCTGAACATTTGCGTGTATCTTTCAACTAATGCATTTAGTTATAACATTTAAATTAACTATTATATTCAACTACTGTTCCTGTACAAAGCCTTGCAGAGTTGCGTCCCTTGGGCATGGCAGAAACCTAGGATTGTGGTTTCGAATCCCGGTTCGCCCCGATTATGTTTCTAGGTTTGTCAGCACCATACCCGTGCTCGTGGGTTTCACGTCGGAGACCTGCATCACTTCCGGCTCTGTGTGCTGACATTGATATTCAACACAATTCTCTTAACCCTGGAAAACGCCTTTAGACCCAGTAGGTGTTAACAACTTGTTAAACCCAATAACGTGAATTCACTCATTTAGGCCGTCGATGCTTTATATTATGGGGTTTAAATGCTTAAAAACACGAAAGATACAGAGTATGTATGAAACCTTGCAAAACCATATAAATGCGTGACTCATCTGAGCCAGCCCCACACTCGCAAATAGTGTTGTTGAAGGCTTTCAAATTTTGCAAGCCACACTCGGGTAGGCGCAGAAAACGCGCTGTGATCATTTATGACGAGAGACACGGTGTAAAGAATGTGTTAAATAATGGCATGGTAGGTCCTTCCCATCCAACAGATCTAGCTGTGCAGCGGGTTTTTTTCTGACTGTTGTAATAAACTGTTAATGTCAAATTCCATGCCATGTGAATTTTTAAGATCCTTGCATTTTTTACGTTTAAGCCCGGGGCTTCCATTTGAATAACTATTACTCAATAAGAAGAATGGGCAAATTTTATTTGTATTTTAGTAGTAGGATTCTCGGTGATTTTCGATATCACTATCCTGAAATGGACATATGTCAAACCTGTTTGTATATCATGCAATAGTATTGCATCTTAGTAATGAAGTTCAGTTTAACCTACTTGAGCAGCCCGGACGGGCAATCAAGGTAGTCGAGGTTAAACCTAGATTCTTCAGAAAACATGACATTAGCCCGACGTAGATTATGCCAGTGCTGACGTTCCCTAAACCAATGACGCCTCTGATTCAAAAGACGTGCCGTAAGTTGTGGGATGACTCTTGGACGTCGTGCAAGCCAATGCCATCTGTGCAGACGACTTCGCATCGTCTGGCATGCACTCTCACACCAGTTGCATGTTGCAAGTGGTCCCTTTTTGGGGTGACAGTTTACAAACGGTTTCTTAATGTCATCGTTCTGACCAATCTGGCCTTGGCTCGAGTGGTTGCCCTTAGGCGTCAAAAACGGCGTCGATCATCGACGTTATGTGTTTGTTGGTTTTGGGTCCACAATCTGCTGACGACAGATTTAGAAAGTGCAACATTTGGGCAACAAACGTCTGACGTGTGTCCACCTTCAACAAACATTTAGCACGTAAACGTTCAGCACGTTGCAAACGTCACATGATCAATGCTGTTACTTCCTTAATGATTGAAAGTGTCTTTGAGCGTTTGGTTCCAAGAAGACAAAATGCGTCTGCTGACAACAGAGTCTGAGAGACAATGGTAAATCTGGCATACCACCCCTTGCACGTGCTACATGACTGTCACAATTGTGTTTTGGGGTTCTTGATATCTTCGAAAATGTTCTTGTCACATAAATCACAAACATTCATTGCCAGACATTGGTGTAATTCCTGTAGTTTCGCCTCAAAACAAATATCTCCTAGTTTTTGGCATAGTATTATATTATATAAAGATGGGGTTTTCCACCACGAGCACTTATGATGTTGACATCTGGGGAAATAACGCCGTGGCAAGTAGACAGAAAAGAGAATAGATAGTACGCGTCCACACATGTGTATCTGTGTGTGTGTGTTTGTGAGTGCGTGTATTCCAGTCGCATGCGTGTGTGCCAATATGAGTCTACCAAATTGTATATATACCCCAGCTGTCACATTTTCGCAAAGAAATTTCTCGATACGTTTCATAAGTTGAGTGAGAGGGCGAGGTAGATTTAACGTGGCTTTGAACAGCATATGAATTTATACGAGTGTCAGCTGGAGCTTGGTCAAAAGTGACGGACTAAGGGTAACATTGTGCCCACGGAGGGAATCAAACCCTTCAACCACGAGGCTACCCCCGCCCTAGTAAAGAGCTCGTGTAGTAACTCCGCTTGAATTATTCCCTGAATGATAACACGGCGGGCACGTGACATGAAACGAGGGTTCCCGTTCATTGTGTGCACAGGGTTAGAGAGAGGGTGGCATACATACATGCCTTGCTACATGGCGATCAAGCAGTGTGCCATGCGTCTTGACAACTAAAGGGAGACAACCCCTCAAAAGTGTTCGTCTCGTTTGTCTTGCCCGTTCTCCAGTTGTGTTATAGTTTAATCACACATTAAACTGACATATCGTGTACATATATACATGGCTGGTCTTCTAGGAACATTAAAATCACACACTGTGAATAGCTTCCAGTTCAGTATCCGAGAAAAGGATGTTTAAGTTGTACGCAGATTGAACTTGCTTCAAATTACCTGTTAACAAACTATTACTGATTAAAATTAACACGACATAGAAAACCATAGTCGTCGGAATATGTAATATTGGTGAGCAAAAGTAGACAAATACAAGAAAAGAAATCCTAAACACAGATATAAAATTGTTTAATATGAAGGTACCATTCATACCCCCACAACGGATAGGTCGATATATATATACTCGTTATACACAGATTAATTGCATACATTGTGCACACAATTGCACAAATTATTATAACATCGGCTTCATAGTATTTTTTTTGGTTACAAGAAAAAGTAAGAAAACACTTTTATGACAACTTCTTTATAACGACTATATTTTGCACCTTCATCGGTTGAATGTAAAGGGATAAGAAGTAGCCCTGTGGTATCATTAGAAAGAACTTGTTATCCATAAAATGTGTTATGTCCTCACAGTCTTCATAGTCACAGAGACAGTCACCAATCCCCCATCACCACCTTTTCGACACCTTCCCAGTCGATGGTGCACCGCTCATTGCACTGCCACAAGATTTGAATCAATGATGCAATTGTAGCTTGACGTGAGTTTATCTGTTTCCATGTGGTGAATGCTTCAACAACTTGTAGCTGGATGGATCTTGGGTGTTTGGCTACAATAGCTTCTCGCGTGGGCACGGAGATGTTTATTTCTGGTGCTATCAGTTCCCACTCTGCCCCGATATGTTTTGCAATACTCCCGATGAGCTTGTCAGTTACGACTTGTCCTTGTTGGTCACGAGGCATTGGCCGGAACCATTCTTTATATGCAAAAAATAACAGTACATTTAACTATGTGTTAAGCATTTTCCCATATATTTTTCTAATCTTGAACAATAGCTAAATGTGAAATTAGAGGCTTTCCCTCAGAAACACTTTCAAGTCAAAAGACAGACTTCAGCCTTCTATAAATGTGCAAACAAGTTGCGGGTTTGCTTCAATCCATTATCCATTAAGATTCAATCATGTTTCATCCACATAACAAACTAGACTGAGATATTATATTATATAACTAATATTATCAGTGTGGGCCTAAATTGTCAGATAATCAAGATAAGACTTGTTGTTATCCTCGTATTTAATTGAGCGTTAATTAATTAAACATCTCACACGTCTGTAACACGAATGTCTATATAATGTACACCATGGCTCAGCACAGTGTGGATGCAGTAAAAGCGTTGTACCAGGGGTTTGCCCAAATCTGCATCTACAAGCGAGTGGTGCCTCCTCGTTTAGGGGGTACACCTCTCTTGTTTCATCCACATATCAAACTAGATATTCAACTAGTTTTACCAGTAATGGGCTAAATTGTCAGATATTGATAGGTGTATATAACTTTTGAGCTACATTGTCAAAGATTGAACTATGTGTAGTGTGCCAGAACATTTTTATCAGGGATTGTGCCAGGTTACATACCAGGAAGTAAATCATCCTGCTGATCTGCCTGGCCTCCACCTTCAGTTGCTTCCAGATCAGTCCCACCTTGTGTAAAACCGCCTTGATCAGTCGCACCTTGTGTAAAACCACCTTGACCAGGTACAGGAAGTCTTCCCAAGACTTTCGCCTGAAAACTCTCCTGCCTCTGGACGTACTCCCTAAACTCAGCATTCGTCAGCTGGTCCTCCTTCAGCTCCTGTTTGAGATAATCCATCCTCTCCTTTAGGACAGTCTCAATTTCAGACTGGCTCAGTTTGATGTTCTCGGCTTTCGTCAATTCGTCTTCGTTCAGATCCAGGTCCGTGAAAACCCTCCTAATTTGATCTATATCAGTCGTGTAGTCTACTCGTTGCCTGGATGCTCCTAGTATGTGAGCATATGTGTTCCGCAAGTCCCTCAAGATGGTGACATTGTCTCTATACTTACTGTCATCGCTGTTCATAGGGGTGTAGGAAATAAACGCTCTGCACAAGACTGTCATGTCCCACGCCTCTAAGTTACCAGTTTTAATTTTATTATCATATTGTCCAAATATTTGACTGGGTTTGTGATTTTTAAAAAACGCTTCCCCTGAGGCTTGGTTATTCTGCCATGTTTCAAGTGGATGCTTCTCGTCCCACAATTTTCTAAACAGCTGACGTAGTTCATCAGCCACGACGCTGTTTAAAATCCAGAACCCCCTCAAGCACAGTTGCTCTTGCTCCGATATCACCCCTGGTCCCTGGAAACAGTAAATAACCATAGTTCAGTCGAATACTCTCACCAGTTTAATTGAGTGAGACTACAAATATTTCTATTTTGAGGTTTCATGAAAATTATATATTTAACACATGTTCATGAACACTAATTAATATTTTCTTAAAAGATATATATTTTGAATTTCAGATACATTTATATCAAAGTTGACTTATCATTTGCATACAAAAATAGACAGCTGTAAAGAAGATTCATTTTTACCTACTAGAAATAAAGGGTATAACTTACTGACATGGTTACCACAAAACCTGACTTGAATGAAACCTGAAATGATAATCAGAAAAAAGTAAAACTAGTTATCATTATGTTCATCATCGCCATTGCCATCCTTATTAACAATTGGGAATATCATCATCATCATCATCACCACCATCATCATCATCATCATCATCATCATCATCATCATCACCACCACCACCATCATCATCATCATCATCATCATCATCATCATCACCACCACCACCATCATCATCATCATCATCATCACCACCACCACCATCATCATCATCATCATCATCATCACCACCACCATCATCATCATCATCACCATCATCATCACCACCACCACCATCATCATCATCATCATCACCACCACCATCATCATCATCACCATCATCATCACCACCACCATCATCATCATCATCATCATCATCATCATCAACAACAACATGGGCGGTAGGGTAGCCTAATGGTTAAAACGTTCCCTCGAAACGCCGGAGACCCGGTTCGATTCCAGACATGGGTACAATGTGTGAAGCCCATTTCTGATGTCCCCCGCCGTGATATTGCGTGAATTTTGCTAAAAGCGGCGTAAAACCATACTCACTCACTCACATTTCAGATAGGTTTCTGCCATAGGGAGTTCCTATCATATACACAAAGTCTAGTCTGTGCTATATGTACCCGATTTATGATGTTATTGGGCTATTTCTTGTGGTTTCATTCGTCATCATAATCTGTGATATGTGTCTTGGGACACAGACACACATACACGCGCACGCGCGTGTTTTGCACATTCTGTCAGTGCGTATATGATTTCCAAACTCTGTAGCCGACACTACCCGGCCACCTTGCTGACTATCCGGGGAGATGGGCGTCAAACAAACCCGGATGTGACCTACTTAGATGTGGCACCCGTCACATCAAGCGTTCTACGTATGATATTTCAGTGATAATAATCCATTTTGACCTGTATAGTCCCATGTATCCCCAACACCAGTAACAACAATCTGTATCACGCCTCGTCACCAGTTAACCCGTGCCGACCGATGCGGTTGCATTGTATTTGTCGCCATTGTGGGCCAGTGGTCGCCATTTACCACTAGGTGATACACATGAGTTCACATGGGTTATACTGAAACGATGTCGTGTGTGTTAAAATCCACATTCGAAAATTTGATAAAGTAATGTTTGGGAGAAGCATCTGAATTGTGAAGTTCGCATGAAACTAGTATATTAATATACATGTACATGCCTACCTGTGTAAGATACTCCGAACAACCTGGTCAATAAGCAGCGATTATGATTAATACGTCACAGTCAATTTCGAGGTGGTTCCTCATGCACGTTATTGACAGCAAGAGCATTCCTTGAACTGCGCATGCGTAGTAATAGTAACTGACTTCTTTTCAGGAAGCTCGCGCTGAAAGTCACATATTTACAACTTTTACAACTTTACAACACTGCCGTGGATTTACACAGCAAAACAGGATAACATATGTTTTAAAAATGTGAAATTGGTACATGGAATTTAATAACCTCCGGACAATTCAGTCGAGGATTGCCTGTTCTCCAATAATGGGGCTGACGATGAGCGGAGTCCGACCCTGCTTTTCAATGGAACTTCTCTCAAAAAAATACTTCTGGTGCAAATTTGGTGTTCTATGTTCAACAATATATTATTTTACTTTTTATATAGATAATGACGGTGAGTAATGTACATGTTTTTCAGATCAAGCAAAATTATTTGATGTGATGATATTGATTGTTTGTGTATTTGACACATATATTTATTTCAGGTAATTGTGATTATTTACATTCATTTCATTGCCTACAAGAATAGATCACAATTGTCCATTTCCATCTATTCTGTAAAGGCGTTTAATGCACACATGTATGCTTGACGATATTTACTTGTTGATTTTGAATTTATACATGATCAAGATTAAACATTACCTTCAAGCATAATGCACTAAATCTTGCCGCAAATGTCTTAACGATCGATATTTTATATATTTTAGTAGTTGATGGACGGTTGACTTTTTGCACATATGATGAGCCTTCACAAGAATGTACTCCATGTACAGGATATGTATTTGTCTTATCGTTGACTCGAATTTCTGATGAAACAAATTCCACAGGACGTTAAAGTAACAATAGTGAGGCAAATTTTATGAATGGATCACTGAAAACCAGGAATGACACCAGGTGTACGAGAAAGGAGAAAACACTACTGAACAATTTTCATTACAAGAGTAAGTGCCACTAAGCAATGAGGTGCGAACATTCCGTGTTAAGATCTAAACATGGGATAACATGTTGACAGCTGATGGGAGATACTTAGCACACTCCTCTGAATGTCTACCATAAAACGTCTGGAATGATGATATAGGTATGATGATTGAAAATATATTTGTAATCAAAACGTATCGTTACATAAATTTGGATAAAATGTACTTGCTCTAAAGTACCAAATAAATTGATAATTGTGGATGTCATTTGTTGAAGGGGGGAATCGAAATCACCCCTCCTGTAGTACAGCACCTTTTGATATTGTATATATCTCTGATACTAATTCCACGCAACTTCATATACAAAAATAGAGAGAACTTACGAACTTGAACTTTGAATAAGCAGCCGCCCATCCATCCGGACCAATAGATTGATGATGCCAATTACATTTTGTGCCTCACTATCTGCATAGCTTAATCCCTAATTTTGTTTTGGAAAAGAGTAAAACATGTCCTCTTCTATTGGTAGAAACAAACTACTCACACATATGTTGTTAAAAGAGTAAGTGGCGGTAAGTAAGGAGGTGCGAACATGCCGTGTTAATAAGGTCAAAACATGGGATAACATCGCGCATGTTGGCAACTGATGTTTAGTACACGCCTGTGAATGTCTACCATAAACGTCTGGAATCAGATATAACGGCATATGATTGAAAAATATTTGTAAGTAATCAACAATATTTTGCATCATTCATGCATGCATCAACGCAGAATTTACAGAATGAAAGGAAATGGAAGATTATGTCAATTTTAGTAGCAATGCAATGAAAAGTAGTAATAAAAATTAACTAAAACAATCAATTACATTATATAAAATCATTTTTGCTTGATCTGAAATACATGTACAGAATTACTTGCCATCATTATTTTATAAAATTTACCTGAAAAATACATGATTCTTGTACTAAACAGAACTTTTCACCCGAAATATTGTTTTGAGCGTTGATCCATGGAAAAAGACCCTTCTGACCCTGAAAAACATGGTCTGACCCCGTTCAGCTTAAGAACAAGCAATTCTCGACGGAATAAAATATGTTGATCCTGAGGCAAATTCGATGCATTAAGTGTATATAAACACACAATGTCATTAAGAAAATGTAACAAAAATGTTGTATTTGGGATAACACTTTCTTAGTAAAATACAGAACAAGCAGTTGATCCTGTTGATCCATAGATATACGTTGAAACGTGTATATATTAAAGATTGAATGTGAACTATATTCTCTCAACGTATTGTTTGTGTCCTCCAAAAAGAAATAAAATTATAAAAATAAGAAAGTGTTATCCCAAATATAACAGTTGTTACATTAAAATTATATTTAAAAAACACACCTATGCTTCCTTTTTCACCTTGTAATTTTACGGCAGTGTTTGCCTTCAAAAGAATTTGTACGGCTTTCAGGGCTGGCTTCCTCGAAAGGAGTCACCTATTACGACTGCGCATGTGCAACTCAAGGAATCTCCTTGCTATGAATAACGCGCAAGAGGAACCCCCTCGAAATTGACTGTGACGTAAAACGCGTCATAATAGCTGCTCATTTGCATATTTCATGTAGGTATGGTGATTATTGCTTTATGAGTTCATAGTAGGCTGATGGAATGAAATGGCCTTGATCTCTGTTGATTGATGGCATTGTACAGAATATATATATAGTAGTTGAAGAACTTATCTATTGACTTCTTGTAATCATATGTATTCATATATTCTGTACAATGTTCCTCATTCCGTCTTGCTTGACAACAGTATAAGGATCTATACCGAAACGTCGCCTTTACAGTAATTAAAGAAGTTGTTATCCATAAATTGTGTCTACTCTGTCCAACATGTGAGTGTTTAGGACAAACACGTTGGATTATTATAACTAACGGGTGGTGCGACGCATGCCATATATAGTTAGGGGACTTCCGGGTTTGTTGTCTCCTTTCTCCCGGGAAAGTCTGCAAGGAAGCTGGATAATGTCGACAACAGGGAACGTGCATATACGAGGGCTGGTCAAAAAGGTCGAAGCCTAACAAACAAAACAAACAATTGTAAAAGTTTTTTTTAATTTATGTTTCAACATAATCTCCCTGCGTTTCAATACACTTCTCATATCGATAGTGAAGCGTTTCAATTCATCTCATGAAAAAGTTTTCCGAAACCGTACACGGCAGCTTTGAGGTCATCGTTGTCGTCATAGCGATTTCCACGAAGGTGTTCTTTCAGTTTAGGAAACAGGTGGAAATCACTTGGTGCCAGGTCTGGCGAGTATGGAGGGTGAGGAAGCTCTTCGAGTCCACATTGTCGCACAGCAGCCTTTAAAAGTCGGGAAGTGTGAGAAGTCCAAATACACTTGCAATGAACTACTCAAACAATGTATAGATTGAGTAGTTCACTTTGGTTTGGCCCACAGCTGAAAATTAGTCAGGCTCAATATGTTTTGATCAGCCCTCGTTCGTATCGTTGTTACTGAGTGTTTGATACATGTAGAATACTAAACGAGCTCCCGTGTAATACCAATTTTATGAAACGAGTGAATAGTTCTGGTATCTGACGAGCGAAAGCGAGTCAGATACCACAACTATTCGCGAGTTTCATAAAATTGGTTTTACACGGGAGCGAGTTTAGTATTTTATTTATTACTTGACATTTACAACGTTTTTAGAATTATACTGTTGAGTATGAATAGGCTAGCTGACACCTACACGATCCAAGGCATAGTCCAATTGAGTTTAACAGAATAATACTTCAAACACGTCAAAAGTTGAAAGGTATGAATTTAATACCATACAACGGTCCACCTTTAGAATTCACAATATTATCGTAGGGCTAAGACTATCGCAACTCACATACTTTAACTTAGACTAACGACTGTCGTTGCGCTACAATACGATTGCCTTGTGGAACGGGCCTTGTACCTCAAACTTTACAATAACGTCACAATACCCGATGACGTAATTTGTGGAATTTTGTTGCAAGACCCATCGGCGAAACAATGCCATGTGACGTCACCCTAGCAACAAGGTTGCTGGGGTCATCGAGTGTGCATAAGCTCCTCTCAGTGATCTATCAACTCCACACGCAATGTCTTTGAATAAGCCAAGCGATGTTGAGAGCTTTTTAATATTTGTTCGTGAACCGTGTTCCGAGAGTACACAAGCACGCGTTTTGGTATTACACAATGTGTAATACAGCTGTATGTTTATTAAACGGGTGATCTCTTCACGGGCAAGTAATAAATGTAGATACGATTGTGCTGATAAATATTACTGCACACAAAGTCACGAGACACATTTTATGTTTGGTGGAGAATGGAGCCAAATGAAAAAAACAACAATAACAATTTTTATACAAATAGAATAACATAACAATCACGTAGCACACAGGCCTGTTGTGTATAGAAACTCAGCGACACCTAGCTAGAATGCATCATATCCCCACTCTCTGTAGTCGACATTGTCCAGCTCTCCATAACGTCAAACGAACCTGGTAGTGATCTACTGAGATATGGCTTCCATCACATAGGCCGTCCTACATATAATACCTCAGTTGACTTCTTGACACATTTGTAGAATGAGTTAGTGCGTTATGATTAATAATGATGTTTTAATCATATAAAATAAAAATTCAAAATCAATAATGAAATACCGTCACGCATACATGTAAGCATTAAACGCATTTTACAGAAGGCTCTACCTGGAATGGACAATTATTTTTTTTTATTTTGGTAGGTAATGCAATGAACATAAGGAATTAAAATTTAACTGGAATAAATGTATCAAGTACGCAAACAATCAATATCATCATATCAAGTACCTTAGCTTTATCTAAAATACATGTACAGAATTACTTGTCGTCACTCTTTTTGCAAAATTATATCTGAAAAAATAACTATTACCAAACATAGAACAAATTTGCATCGAAAGTATTTTTTGAGAGATGTTCCATTGAAAGACCCTTTTAACTCTTAAAAACATGTTTTGACTCCGTTCATCGTAGGCCCCACTATAAATAACACGCAATTCTCGATTGAAAAAAGAGAGTTGATCCTGAAGCAAATTCGATGTATTAATTTCCTATTTTTGAAACAGATGTTTTCATCTTTCACATTGAAAATCCACGGCAGTGTTTATGTGGCTTCCTCGAAAGAAGTCAGTTACTACTACAGCGCATGTATACTGAGTCAAATTAAAAACTTCACATTTTTAAAAGTAATCCCATATATGATATACAACGGACAAATGTATCAGAGAAGGTAATTTTTAATCATCAATGTCCAAAAGAAGGATTTTAATTTACTGTGGTAACCTTAATTTGTTCCAAGCACCTACGGTATTCGGTAATAACATCAACAGTTTAAATCATAAGTCCCAAGCACGAGAATCTGATGGCACACAAGTTCAGTAGCGTGTATGGCCACCATGTGCGTTGACAACTGCCACACAACGCCTCCGCATGGACCTTGTGATGCTAGTGAACACATAATTGGGAAGACGACGCCATTGTTGCTGCAAAATGGTGCCAAGATCTTGCAAATTCTGTGGTTGGTTCTGGGGAGTGCGCTGACTTCTGCCAAGAGCATCCCAGACGTGTTCGATGGGATTGAAGTCGGGAGACCTTGACGGCTGTGTGGGGTCTGGCATTGTCGTGTTGGAAGATTCAAACCGGGTCCATGTGCTGCCATAAAAGGCAGAAGTTCTGGTGCCAGTACCTGGTCGCGGTAAGCAGCAGCGTTGAGGTTGCCACGGATGACAAGAAGCCTGGAACGTGCATTGCCACAGAAAGCACCCCACACCATGACACTTCCGCCTCGAAATCTGTCAACTTCCTGTACACAACACTGGGCGTAACGTTCTTGACGGCGCGCGTCCACAACCTCGCCCTACCATCAGCAAATTGAAGATTAAATCGGGATTCATCAGTGAAGACGACTTGATTCCAATTCCTCTGAGTCCATCGGTAGTGTCACTGTGCCAACAATTGACGTTGACGTCTGTGTAATTGAGTCAGAATCGGCCCGCAGTATGGCTGTCGTGCTTGAAGGTGAGCAGTTCTCAGACGGTTTCGAACAGTTTGCACACTCCGTCTACCCCTAAACAGTTCATTTCTGGTTGATGTAGCCGTCAAAAATCGGTTACGGAGGTGACGTAAGACAATCTGACGATCCTCTGCATGTGACGTCACACGTGGTCGACCTTGCCGAGGGCGATCAGCGGTGGTACCTGTTTGCTGTAGACGCGTCTGTAAATCATAAACAGTCCGTCGACTACAACCCATCGTCTTTGCGACTTCAGCTACGGACGTTCCCGTCTGTAACATGCCGATGGCACGTTCACGTTGCACATCTGAAAGGCGTGGCATGACAAATGGCCGTAAAGGCTTTTGTTTTCTTGTGTTTTTCTATTTTTGTTAATGACTGCTAACAAGTATGGCTGAAAACACGTGCGGTATTATGGCCACGTGACCAGTTGCACGTGAAAAATCACTTTTGCCACTATAGTGCTGTGCACATGATATTGATCGATTCACCTGCACAAAAACGGGTGTTATCTGAAGACAATACGTGGCCATTACTGTTTAACTACACAATAAGGGCCGATGATGATAACTGGTCAAAATGTTAAAATTTTAGGATTGTGAAGTTTTTAATTTGGTTCAGTATACATGTGCAGCTCAAGGAAATATATAATCACGAGCATAAGGAACCCCCTCGAAACTAACTGTGACGTTAACGCGTCATAATCGCTGCTCATTTGCATAATACATGCATGTGCTAAGGGTGAAAAGAAAGATGTTGGTAGTACCTCGTCCAGGTTAGCATATATATTAATATACTAGTTTCAAGCAAACCTCACAACTCTAATGCTCTCTAACCATACTTTATCAACTTTCGAATATCGGTATTTACACACTTGACATCGTTTCTGTATAATCCACGTGAACTCTCAAGTGTATCACCAAGCGGTGAATGGCGACCACTGGCCCTCAGTGATGGCAAATACGGTGCAACCCCCTCGGACGGCACAGAGTTAACTGGTGAAGAGGTGTGATACAGATTGTTGTTACTGGTGTTGGGGATACATAGTTGTGTTTAGGACAAACACGTTGGATTATTATCATATATGTAGGACGGCTTATGTGATGGAAGCCATATCTAATTTGATCACCTCCGGGTTCGTTTGACGCCTATCTCCACGAAGAGCTGGACAGTGTCGACTACAGACAGTAGGGATATACATAAGACTTGACATCACGCGCTAAACACTTTCAGTATTCTTTAATGGTTAAGTTTATCCTTTTTAACGAGTGTTTTATAATGAAGGATGTGTGTAAATATAACCACACACATAATCACGAGACATATCTATGGTGGAGAATGCAACCACAAGACATAAAACTTTCTGAAACTGGAATGTACCCCATGTCTATGTTGTTTCATGTTTAACTTTTATATCTGATTATCATTTCAGGTTTCATTCAAGTCAGCATTTGTGGTAAACATGTCAGTAAGTTATACCCTGACCATCTTACATTTCTAGAACCTGAAAGTGGATCTTCTTAGAGGTATCATTGACATATTCTGAAAACGATAATAGTTTTAAGTCGATTACGATATACCTGTAATAGAATGTCTTTTCCTTCAAACAAATCATTATCGGAATTCATAAACATGAGGAATAGGTTATTTTAATCATTCCTCGAGCTTCAATTTGGTTTTTCTCACTAACCGAAAGTGGATTTATTGTTGTTGAGAGTATTAGATTGAAAAATGGATACTCACTATTCCCAGGGACCAAAGAGTATATCGTCAGCTGTTTCAGCGCCTGTGGAACCAGAAGTACCCCCAAAAAACATGGCAGGGTGACCAAACCTCAGGGAATTTTTTTTATAATACTTACAAACCCAAAGGATTAAACGGACGATATGATGATATTATAAAAAATGGTAAGTTAGATGGATGGGACATGACAGTTCTGTGCCGAGCATTTATTGACTACTCCCTTATTGACAGGAAGTACAGTGACAAAGTCAAGATCTTGAGAGACTTACGGAACACATATGCTCATATCCCAAATTCATCCAGAAAACAAGGCGACTATGAGAATGATATAGCTGAAATTAGGGAGGTTTTCAAGAAACTGTGTCTGAGCGAAGAAACCTTGAATGAAGCAGAGAGCATCACCCCAGACGATATGGAGCGTCGAGAGCTGCTGAGTCTGATAGAGACCCTGAGAAAGGAACAGGCAGAGTTTAGTGAGGAAGTCCTGAAAAGACTTCCCGAACATGGTGAAGACCAACCAGATCAACAGGACCCTTCAATTCCTGGTATGTTGACTGGGCTTTCACTGTCCACAGACTATTACAATCATTGATAAACAAGATCAGTATATGGCAAACTACGTATATATCAACCATGGACAATGAAGATCAACATCTGTCAATACCTACCAATATCTGACAGTCTACTCAAATGCTTGTGAAACTACTACAATATATCGTCCTGTTTCACAAGTGCTTAATGAAGACACTTGATGTGAAAGCAAATTAATTCACAAAGCAAAATGTAATGTTCTTTTGTTCACATTAACTTTGTTCTACGAGTCGGATACATTAGTTGCCCACTAATGATTATACAAACCTCTTATTTGGTTATTTACAAACAGTATTAGAGAAGTAAACCTACTACTAGTTTTCACAATTAAAAAGAAAAAGCTGAAGTCGTCTGATAGACCATGAAGGGAATGGCGTTGACGTTATTATTAACAAATTTGTTTTGCATGTGAAGAACGGTTTCCGATGGGGCTATTTGATTGTCAAAAATAGTATAGAGAGAAGAAAACTTGTTTTCACTTTTATAGAAGGCTGAAGTCAGTCGATAGGCGGGGATGTGTTTTTGAGGGAAAGCCATACACTTCACGTCCAATTATAGTTCAAGACGAAATGTACGGGAGAATGGTTTACATATTTTACTGTTGTTTTCTTTTTTGCATATGAAGAATGGTTCCAGTCGGTGCCTCGTGACAAAAAACAACGGATTGTCACTGAAATATTCTTCGGAAGGGTTGAAGACCACATCGGGGCTGACTGGGATGCGATAGCAGTAGAAATGGACATCCCCAAACCAAAGCGAGAAAAATACCAAGGATCTATCCGACGTCAAATGATGGACGCATTCACCACATGGAAACAGAAGAACTCACGTCAAGCTACGATTGTATCATTTATCCAAATCTTGTGGCAGTGCAATGACCGGTGCACCATCGACTGGGAAGGTGTCGAGAGGGTGGTGAGGGGGGATTGGTAACTGTCTCTATGACAGTGCAGACTGTAAGGACATATAACATTTATGGATTAAAAAGTTCTTCTTTCTAATGATGCCATAGGACTACTTCTTGTCCCTTTACATTCAACTGATGTAGGTGCAAAATATAGTCGTTATAAAGAAGTTGAAGAAGGTGGTAAGGGGGGATTGGTAACTGTTTCTTGAACTGTGAACCCTGTGAGGACACACTACTGTTATGGATAACTATCTTCATTCCACTGATGTTACTGGAATACTTTTTGCCCCTTCACCATTCAACTGATAGTGCAAACTGTAGAGCAGTATGAATGCTGCCTTCTTCTCACACAATTCAATTTCTGTGTGTGACCTATTTTTTAGCATTTGTTCATTTCCTCTCAACAACATTTCTACTACGACGGAACCCGTGAAGATCCTGAGTAGAATAGTTCTTCGGCAACCCATACTTGCCGTAAAATGCGGCTATGCTTGTCGTAAGAGGCTAGGCGACTAACGGGATCGGGTGGTCAGGCTCGCTGACTTGGTTGATGCATATCATCGTATCCCAATTGCGTGGATCGATGCTAATGATGTCAGTCACTGGATTGTCTGGTCCAGACTCGATTATTTATAGACCGCCGTCATATACCATGTAGCTAGAATATTGCTGAGTCCGGTGTTAAACAAACAAAACAAACTACTACGATGGTTATCTTTTTTAGAATCTGTTTGAGCTTATTGTCACCAGTAATACTGAGTTTGTTTACAGAAAATTACAGGCAAGTCTCAATATGTATTTAACTGTGGTTAAATATCTTATACTGGGATACTGAATTTTCAAGCTAGTCTTATTTTTATGATTTTAATGAAGTCACAAATTTAAAAAAATAACCCACCTCAGGAAATCAATGGGAAAATATACATTTGGTTGTGTTTAACCAGCAAGCAAGATTAGCGAGACGAACAATATGTAGGGTTATCTCCCTTTAGTTGTTGTGTTGGCCCTGTGCTTGATCGTGTGCAGCATGAACATATTTGCCGTCCTCTCTCTCTCTCTCTCGCTGTGTAGCTCAACATTGACAACACACACTGAGTGGAATCTCGCGTCTCATGTCACGTGACCGCCGTGTTGTTATTATTCAGAGGACAATCTGCAAGCGGAGCTACTTACACGAGCCCTCACTTTACTAGGGCAGAGGGATAGCCTAGTGGTTTTAAGGGTTTGATTTCCCACATGGGTACAACGTGTGAAGCCTTTTTATGGGTACCCGTGCCGTGATATTGCTAAAAGTAATGTAAAACCCACACATTCACTTACCTCGCTAACATGGGAGGCACGAATGGTTCAGTGGTGTAAAGCGTCGATATACGCTGTTCGTCTCTGTCGTGGGTTTGAATCCAGGATTCGTGACGATTATGACCCTTGGACCGTCAGCACCATATCCATAAGGAACAATTCTTAACAATTTTATCACCAGTTATCCAGAAACAATTGCCAATATCTGTTATCATATATACAATTGAAATATATTCCTTGTATGTAAAACATAACCATTGTTTTGCTCAATTACCATATTATTTCCATAGCATTATATTACATTTGTTTAAAATGAAATTGTCATAATGTGTCTTTGTATATGTACCTGTGTGTTTTGTACTAACTGTGCGTATATTTGTAGTTTGTAGAATATTGCAACTGTTTCCCGATGGAATGATACTCAATAAATATCTTATCTTTTCTTGTACCTGTTCGTTGGCTTCACAAAAGGGGTTAACGTATATGACGTGTGTCGCTTGTCTCAGCTCTTGCATTAACCTGACACAAGGTGATACAACCATACTGTTCAAAACTCACTCACTCACTCAACTTGTGAAAGGTATGGAGTAATGTCTTTACGGGCAAGTGATAGCTTGGTGCATATCAATGATAGAAATGTTGGTAGACTGATATGAGCACACACGCACGCACACACATACACACGTGTGTGCAAGCATAAATCTATTCTTGGTTGCTGTTCACTGCAGATTTATGTCCTGATATGCCAACACCACACGTATGTATGGTGGAAAACCCCTTCCTTATATAGTCGTTAATGGAAATACCCAGCGTATATATATATAGCCAAGCGAGGAAGCGTTCCAAAGTAGGTCAACACCGAGAGAGGTATAAACGCGGAAGCCACACGCTCGCTCGCTGGAGTCCCAAGGCTGGGTAGGTTATCTCTATACGTCTTTAGTTAAACTGAAGTTCATCACTAACATGCAATATTATCATATGAAATACAAACACATGTTTTAAATCACGTCTGTCCCTTTCTGAATAGTGATGTCGACAGTCACCGAGAATCTGAGACTGCTGCTACTTAAAAACGTGATTTATAATATTATCCATTCTGCTTATTGAGTATTCAAATGTAAGATCCTTATTATTCACATTCGATACAGCGTGTCTGACGTGGTAACTTATCACAACGAGTTTTCTGCGCCTGCCCGAGGTGACGGGTGTGGCTTGTGAACATGGAAGCCTCCAACAGCAGTGTTGACTTTGCTGAATTGGCCACACGTTTATATGTTTGTAAGTTTTTATACATTTGCTGTATATGACCACCTAAAGTAAAAAATAAAATTAAAGCCAATGAGCTTTGTAATTCGGGTTTATTGCCCATAGTTTAAAACATCGAATTCTTAAATGCGTGAATTTAGGGTGTGGGGTTGAACAAGTTAACACGTTTTGGTTCCGTGGTCGTTTTTATGGATGTGTTGAATGTAAGTATATTTATGCACACTTAGGAACTGGCAGTGGCAAATCCAGATCCGGAAAAAAGGATTTGTTCAAAATGTAGGGACAAAAATACTCAATTATCAGAAGTAATGAATTAGCAAGATGAATTGCCACAGGAGACACAATAGCTGAAATATGTAATCGAGGTATTAATTTAAGCAAATTGATAATTACCGACTTATATCTATAGTAAGTGCCATGAATAAAGGCATGCACACGTTAAATATTAAAGATCTACTGTTACACGATAATTCAATCAGACACAAACAGGACACTCTGAAGACGTTTATTTTATTTTGAATTAAAAACCAAATAAGCTTTGTACACGAATTGTATTTAATAATATTAATGTTATAACTAAATACTTTAGTTAAAAGATACACGCAAATGTTCTGAAAGGCACAATGACGCCTTTGTAGCTCAATTTTAATTATGAGACCTCTTCATGATTCACATCTCATTCATTGTACACTCTCACAGTACCACGTATGAGCGCCCGGCACACGTGACACTTGCGCAGTGCAGGTGCGCAGTCCATGCACGTGACAAGATGGGCACACGGTAGAAACAGAACACAACTGGTCTTGTCCAGACAGACCTTGCATAGACCTTCATCTCGTAACGCGCGGTTCTCCTCTACGAGCTGGCGTTGTGGGGAGGGTGGTGGTGTACTGGGGGACTCCTGGGCTGGAGGAAAGAGGGGAAATACTCACTTGTCATGTCAGATAATATGGCAATGTTTCTTGTTATTATAATATTTGATTAGAGGTGAAATACTAATTACTACGTAGTAAAACATTACTAAATTACTATAAACGAAAGTCAACAGCTTTACCTGGTGGTGTTGTTAAGATATGATCTGAATAAACTCTCTAAATTTTCTGTATATTTATGAAACAAAACTACACGTTGGTCATCTTGACTGTATATAACATTCATTTTGTTTATGTGTATATTGCCGATATTATAGTGTTGTTGGATATAAATCATTTTAAAACAAGGATGCATTATCTCTGTATAACAGGTATAATAAGATATGAAAACAGTTCTGTTTCAAGAGGTGTTTGATAATAAATTGTCGTCATTTTTATACGCCTGCTTCTTATAGTTGTTTTCTTTTAAGTTTCATAGTACAATACATGAGTTCCTGGAAGGGTTTCCCAAACAAAATGAGAGAGGTGGTAGGTCATGTAGGGCCAATGATGAAACTCAGATCATTTGTGTGTGTGTGTGTGTGTGTGTGTGTGTGTGTGTGTGTGTGTGTGTGTGTGTGTGTGTGTGTGTGTGTGCGCGTGCGTGTTAGTGTTAGGTCTTTTTTAGCCAGCGCGTTCGATTTGATAAAGTCATCCTAAAATCATATACCGCGAGAATATAAGATGTTAATAAAATATTCTTTGAGACGAGTCTACTCATATCAGCACAATCACCTTGAACAGACACATTTTCAGGTTTTGTAATACTTCTTTTGTCTGAAATTATAAATTATAGTGCAACTCATCTGGAAGATAAATCAAATGTCACACAACCACATATTTAACAAAATCGTTTAAAATAAGTTAAGCCGTTTTGTAACGAATATGATCAGTCCTCTCCATTATTCGATAAACAAATAGTGAATTCGTTTTGATATAACAGGAGTGAGTGTATAAAACTCTTATTATTACCATCAAATTATTACATCTATCATATATCTGCTTATATGTAATGATGATAAACGTCATGTATCAATCACAGGGGTATTGCGATAGCACCTACCGATTACTGCTTGTTCTGGCATGGTCACTTTTCTTCCACTGGTCGTGTATGGCACCAAGGCGACACGACACTGTCTCACAACACACTTGCCGCTTCCAGACTGAGGGTGGCTAATACCCAGTACTATTGCGTGTGTATTCAGTTATTTGAGTGTGTGGAAAACCCAACTATAAATAGACGTGTCGACATGAGTTGAACAGGGGTTGAATATGAATGTCCTTATCTGCCCATTATGATCTGGCAAATAGCCGGTGCATGTCGTTGCTAGTGACATGCTGCCTCTGTGCGGTGTCAGTGTCTTGTGTCCGTGTATAGAAGGACTAGTTGTAATTTCTTCCCATTAAAGATGAAGTTCGTGTGTTTCATCCCGTGTTATTCCTTCATCACAATTTAACACTGCACAGTTCAGTCATTCATGTTTACGTCAAGTCTGTTATATCAGTAACAAGTATACACGCATATTGCATTTTTCCGTCATAGAATGTCTGAGACACCTTGCTCTAAGATGGTTCAGCTACAAACTTAAGGCCTCGATGTATACTCGTTTTGCTTTTTATACACAACTGTCAGGGTTGAACATGAACTTTGACACAACTAAGGCGATATGGATTGGATTGGAAATATTGTAATATTCAATTATATCAAGAATATGTATTACACTGTCATCTTGGAAACTATGAGGTTCCAGGAATACTACTAAATGACCAACTGGAGAATCTGTGGGTTATCGACGCAAGGAAAAGAATTAAGACAATTTTCAATATTTCGGGAAACTGGAGAAAAAGAAAGTTTGCATTAACAGGTAAAATAACGGTTGTGAAAACATCATCACTATCAACTAAAATACATATTTCCTCAGCCTTTCCTTTCCTTCCTAAAACATTTCTTGATGATCATATAAACTTGATATGGAATGTAATTAGACATTTAGTAAGGTAAATATAAAGGCTAAGAAATTCACTAAATTTAGCTAGAATTAAGTATGGTAGATATACATGATTATGCATTTACTAAATTTAACTATTAAATGATATTTTTGTAAACATAATATTACTAATCCAAGTAGTCTACCAATCAAAGAAACTAATGCCCCTTTTACGAAGGATGCTTTTGCTACTTGGAAAAGAAATAAATCTCATTATACAGCTGATCAATCAGATTTAGAAACAATATTACTTGAACCACTCTGGTATCAACATTTTATAGACTCACACTTTATTATTCCAAACTGGTTCAATAGAGGCATTCACACAAAGATCTTTGCAATTCGGAAGGCATTTTGTCCTACGAATTAAAGTTAAAGATAATTTTAAGGAAACTTTTCAGGAAGATGGAAAAGTTAAGAATATTCCTAAAACACGGAGGGATACTGTCAACAGATTACAGGAATACACAAGGTGTTAATGAATATGAGTAAGCCTTCAAAGGATGTTATATATTGTAGGCCCAGTCGTCTAAGGCGCCGCGATTCGCTGTGCAGAGACCTATGATTGTGGGTTCGAATCCCGGTTCGCCCTAATTATGTTTCTAGGTTTGTCAGCACCGTGCTCGTGGGTTTCACCGAAGTGGTAAACGTCTGAGGCCTGCATCACTTCGGGCTTTTCTCCCACATTCAGCTAACACGACGCGATATGACTGGAATACTGTTAAAAGCGGTGTAAAACGAACTCACTATAATTCCTTTTGCTTGCAGTTAATAGGACAATATGTCTAATGGTGTAGTTCCGTGGAATTCTACATTAACTGATTACAGAATATGTACACTACAAGCTAGGTTACTGTTTTTTCAGTGTTGATTTATTCATCAAACAGTGTACACACACAAAAATGAGTTAAAGAAAATGAATCTCTTTGTTACGTGTGAGCGTGTCAATTTCTTTTGGAGTCTTTTGTTTTAAGTGATGTTGTTCTCTCCGACATTGTAACAAGTTGGGAATTGATATAGGCTAGGATTTCATGAACCATGAATAAAAATATTATTAAAATATTAAAAAAGCAAGAAACTTTGTCTTACACATTTGTAATAATTATTAAAGATAGTATCTGTTATGGACATTTTTATTACCAGAAAGAGCAACAATAAGGATGCTGAAATGAATTAAAAACTTAGAACAACAACAAGACACTGAACCTGTGTGACTGTGATATAACCGTCGTCCCTATTTAGAGTGCGTTGTTGTTTTGTAATACAAGATACGACATCCAACTGCCTTTAGGGGAATCCCCTAACCTTATATAGACACAACCTTGAATTCCCAGTCTATTTTTGTAGCATTACAAGTGGTATATAAACTGTGAATGGCGAGCCACAGATAATAGTCCCGCCTTCTCGGTAGGCTTATAGTAAACACCCACACACACACTCATCGAATGGCATAAAGGTTCATTTGAAGAAACTGAAGGTAAATCTAATCATTTTCTGTGATGATTGCATTAACGTACATGTACATGCTTCATAATAATGCAATTATGTATCTCTTCCCACTAAGACAGAGGACGTGCGTTATAAAGAGGGAGGCATGAAGTAGGCGTTATATCCAATCACACGAGTAGACCTAGCCATTGACACATTCCGCCATTTTTTGGTTTATATCAACCTGGTTAATATTATCACCAGCAGATCTGGTGTCTACACAACATGCTATTGATATATGTGTACCTATGTGTACAGTTACCCTGTCTAGCGCTCGGCATTAAGGGGCTAAAACAAGGACTGGTTAGCTCGGAGTCAGAATACTGTGTCTGAGTGGCCGCCAGATAAAATATAGAGGCATACAGTGAAAAATGATCTCCCCAGTGGCGGGTATGGGTCAGCGTACACACGTGCATGCACGTCGCTATATAAGTGCAATAATCTTGGACGCGACGTTAAACCCCATTTCACCTCACCTCTTTGTGTAAATATGATTAGACACCCTGAATATTATTTTTATTCGTACAACTCATACCTCTGTGATACATGCAACAGTAACATCTTCTAAGCATATATCGGCAAACCCACCTATGCATGTGTTGATATTGATTCGAGTCGGGGTATGATTCACGGGGAAGTGCGGAGGGAAATTAACATGGCATTTCCACCGTACACGTGATGACGGAAACAACTACCGGCTAGGTGACTTACGTGTCATTGTTCTCCCGAGGGCGTGGTTCGTAGATAATGATATCTGTTTGCATTATGTGTTGAAGAGGTCGCCTTTTGTCTAAGCACTTTCGGCTGACCTGTCCCTCTTTGGGACTCATGTGTGTGAGTAGGGTACACATACATGTATCTATTGTGAGGTTGGTATTCACATAATTTCTGTTTTTGTATTGGTATGATTTCTATTTTCGTATATTGATATAATTTTATTTTTATTCTTGGCTGCTCTGTTTATATACGTAGCTGTCAATCTCTCAGAAATAGAGCTAGTTTAGCCTTCGCTATTGCATCTCTTGGCTTTAGGAGATCTATGACAGATAGCGGATCTAACTGCAATTCTTATTTTAACCAAGTTCGGGCTGGGGCGTGGTCTTGACATTCTAGTAACACTTGAGCAATGGTTTCAGCCTGATTGCAAGATGAACAAGTTATACCTTGTCATAGTGCTTTTTGTGACCGAGTGAGGCGTGAGATGGCAATTTCAATTTTCAATGATATCTGGTTCAGAAGTGATTATTTATAGGCCGCCCCATCTGGCAAGAATATTGCCGGGTGTGGCGTGTCAGACCGATATTAAAAATATACGCTCGGGAAAATTAATAGTTGAAGTGTCATCAAGCGAGGAAAGACTGTTGCTCACGTCACGTTTCATTTCAAAGACATGTGGTCGGTGAATTAGCGCTTGTCCGCTAGCCCGGACCAGTGTTGTCATGTTAAAGGTATCCTTAAGGCTAGTAGAATGTCAAACATTTTTGGGGAGTATTGCTATTATGTTACCACTATTCGGCAAGTTGACGTTCTTGATGACCCATGAAGACGCCGGGGTAGGATAGGTCTGAAGCGACCAATGCTTGCCGTAAGAGGCGACAAACGGGATCGGGTGGTCAGGCTCGCTGACTTGGTTGATGCATGTCATCGTATCCCAATTGCGTGGATCGATGCGCATGATGTAAATCACTGGAATGTCTGGTTCAGACTAGACCATTTATAGACCGACGTCACATAGCTGGAATAATGCTGAGTGTGGCGTGAACCGAACAAAGAAACAAAACTTTCTTGATTAATTTCCGTCTCTGTGAATTTGTTTTCCAAAATGCCTCTATTGACGATGTCATAAATATCGAAAATGCATTATAGCAGATAACAATAGGTACACCTGTCATCTTTCAACGTGCCCCAGACGTAGTGAGTATGAGTATGTTTCACGCCGCTTTTAGCAAGATTCCACCAATGTGACCGCGGGGGACACCATAAAATGGGCTTCACACATTGTACCCATGGAGGGACCTGGGTCTTCGGCGTAAACGCTTTAACCACAAGATTCTCGTTATCAACATGAAACTAAACTCGAAATCCGGATATCTCCTTTAATTACTTCGAGATAAGGTAACTCTACATTTTAAGAGAAGGACGTGGCTTAATCCACCAAACGGACATATCTGCCTCAGTAATACGATTGAACAACATGGTCAGTATTACTGAATGTTCTTTATTGTAAAGGTTTTAAATACTAAAGGTCAGACATACAAGTCTAAAACAGTCTTGTATAATAACATCCTATTGGCAATCCTTTTGGTCTATTGACTCTGAATATAGCCATAAAGTGACATGACCGGAACATTTACTTTGATAAATATATGTTACAAAGAACAGTAATATAAGCAAAAAGATATTACGTGAAACATTCACAATGTAAAGTACTAAAACAGTTCAATAAAAACATATATCATTTTGTTAATACAAATAAAATACGAGATATAGACTATACACTGGTCCACTGAAGAGGATAATCGGAATAAACTCCAAAAAAATATATATTAACAATATTGCCAGTCAAGATCCAACGAAACAGATTCCGATGCGTGTAAAAGACAAAATAGTTGTGAAAATTATATGAATAGATCACCCAAATACATTAAATCCGTGGATATTTTGTGCCTTGTAAAAGTATTTTATTCACATCAGGCATTGTATGTTCTGACAGTTCCACGTATAAGTGATCTACATATAGGGCACTTGCGCAGTGCCGGTGCGCACTCAGCACACGTGACAAGATGTCCGCATGGCAGGAAGACAACACAGCTACTTCTGTCCAGGCAGACCTTGCACGTGTTCTCATCTCGTAATGCGCGGTTCTCCTCCTTGATTTGATGTTGCAGGGAAGGGGGCACGGAGCGGGAGGACTCGGTACCTGGAGACAAAACACACATCTTGAATTATCAGATAGACGTAACTGTATCACTGAAGAATGGATACGTTATGAATGTATCTACGAATGTTAGACATGTGTCTGTGTTTCGAAGCAATGCTGCGTCTGTTTAAGATTTAAATTATAAGAGTGGACACTTCTGACATTTCTGATTCACAAGCCTAGAAACTGTTTCAATAAGGGAGCTAAGTCTCGGCGAATTAGAATGTGTGATTGACGTACCCGGTTTATGTTCACGTGGATGTCGTATAGATGACACAGTCGGTGTAGTCACAGACGTTTGCTGACTTGCGGTAGTGGAGTTGCGCAGAGGTGCCAATCTTGCGGGGAGGGACTGGGGAACTTCAGATACATGGTGTCTCTCCCGGGGGATATATGACATCCGGTGCCTCTCCTCGGGGACGTCTGATACCCGGGGCCTCTCCTCGGGGACGTCTGATATCCGGTGTCTCTCCTCGGGGACGTCTGATATCCGGTGTCTCTCCTCGGGGACGTCTGATATCCGGGGCCTCTCCTCGGGGACGTCTGATATCCGGTGTCTCTCCTCGGGGACGTCTGATATCCGGTGTCTCTCCTCGGGGACGTCTGACATCCGGTGTCTCTCCTCGGGCATGTCTGACATCCGCTGCCTTTCCTCGGGGACGTCTGACATCCGGGGCCTCTCCTCGGGCATGTCTGACATCCGGTGTCTCTCCTCGGCGACGTCTGACATCCGGTGTCTCTCCTCGGGCATGTCTGACATCCGCTGCCTTTCCTCGGGGACGTCTGATATCCGGGGCCTCTCCTCGGGGATGTCTGACATCCGCTGTCTCTCATCTGTTTCTTCAGACGCGATAACCAGTCTTTCAATCAACGCTTCCAATTGGACAGGATGCTGGTCTTAAAAAAACCAAAGGATTTATTTTACTTTAAAACACGATCTTTAAGGACATAATAATGTATGTTGGAAGTAAATGAAGAGCTCAAGCAATGAATGCTTATACACTGGTGTCCATGATGCCATTGAGTTTATAGATAACATATCGATACAACTTTATTTAAAACAAATAATCAACATTTACTTGATTTAATAATTTTGTTTTTGCATCAATGACTGTTAATACAGCGATCATCATCCACTCCAGTAAATGTAACTGTTGTGAATGTGGCTGCAGTGATGTGTTTCGTGTAGCTAAACCAAAAACTCGTTCCCAAAGAGCAGTTTTCTTTGCCTTGAAATATCCCAACATCTCCACAGCATATTTAAGAAGAGGTCAGAATCGTTTCAGTGTTCCAATCACAATCGTCTGGCTTTGTGAGTGAGTGAGTGAGTGAGTAAGGTTTTACGCCGCTTTTAGCAATATTCCAGCAATATCACGGCGGGGGACACCAGAAATGGGCTTCTCCCATTGTACCCATGTCGGGAATCAAACCCGGGTCTTCGGCGTGACGAGCGAACGCTTTAACAACAAGGCTACCCGACCGCCCCTTGGAGATGCACTGATACTAGGAGTGGTATTTCTCTACCTGTCACCCCTGCAGCACCGGGAACGTTGTAAGACTGGGACATCTCCGTCACCGCTCTCTCCACCATCTGTCGGGTGTACCCCATCTCCACCGCCCTCGCCACGACGGCCGCGTCTGTAAGGGAACAGTGTGGTATGAGTGAATGTTCTGTAATTCTTCCATTAGTTTTGGAGAACGACGTAAATTTGTTGATCATGTTTTCATTACCTATTTGTAATGGCATTACACAATTTCACAATACGGCATATTTATACATGCATGTGGAATGGGATATTGTAGAGTCTATATGTAGATAGATCATTTAGTTTCCCAATACGGCATGTTTACACATGTACATGGGATGGGGCATTGCAGTGTCTCCAGAAAGATCATTTTGTTTCATACACCCAACATAAAAATATTGTGTGTGATGTAATCCTTTTCTTGTTAAAAGTGAGAATTTTTGAGATTGTTCATTCTAGGTAATCAGGTGAAGACAAAGCTTGTACTTGCTACATATTTTAACTCTAAACAGCGCACTCCACAAGCTGTCATATTGTCATCGTGTAAAGGTCACGTCAACGTGATACATACTCAGTGATGTAGCGGGTCTGTGACTGCTGTGGGTATTGTTTACTGTAGGCTGGCGAGATGCCTGTAAGAAAAACCATAAGAAACAATGAACTGACATGGATTGAATTTCAAATAAGTGATTTTTAAAAGAGAACAAATCAGTTACAGCATGACATTGCAGGGAGCTACTGGGGTGTCATAGTTGTTTAATGTGAATGAGTCGAATGAAAAGATCATCTGGACATTATTTCAGTTTGGCCATGTAGGTGAACCCCCCCCCCCAAAAAAAACAAAAAAAAAACAACAAAACAAACAAACCCAAAAAACAAAAACAAAAACAAAACAACAACAACAACAACAACAACAACAACAACAACAACAAAAGCAAAAAAACGCAGATCACATACATTAACCACTTTCATGAAACCAACGAAGACTGGCATGAGGCTGTTAGAATAATGATCATTCAGAGCAACTCCTGGTTTCAAACTCACGGTCAACCGTTCCTTGTCCAGGTCAGTGGCAGCGGCGCCTTACACAACTTGGTCACCAATGTCCCCATTCAGACGGAAATAGACTCGTGAAGACCCAGGTTAGAATAGTCTCCAGGAACCAATACTTGTCGTAAAGAAGCGACTATATGCTTGTCGTAAGAGGACTAATGGGATCGGGTGGTCAGGCTCGTTGACTTGGTTGATGCATGTCATCGTATCCCAATGGTGTGGATCGATGTCCATGATGTCTGGAGTGTGGCGTTATACAAGATACAAACAAATCAGATGGAAACACCCTTACCTTGTTTGTCAGCGCCTGTATGACAAAGTTATCTCCCTTCAATCTGCGGATGTAGCTACAGGATGACCTCCAGCGCACGTGCTCCACCCAGGGGTCATCCCCCTCTTCCCAAGTCTTCAGACCGACACCACAGTAGAAACACCGCACACAGTCGGAGTAGCCTGCAATTAGGATTTACTTAAAACTTTAGTAAACCCTCTCGTAACCTTTCAAACGAGTTTACCCCACGGTCCTAATTTTGCTAATTCAAACAAACTGGTTGCCCTAAATACATAAAGTCAATCTGAAAATCGGCACCAACTAAACCGAAAACTAGACTGCTCCTAACTGAAAATTTCCACAGGGCGATGGAGACAAGATCTGGTAAGATCTTTACTATCTAAAATGTACTTTTGTAAAATTTTGTCTGTTTGTTGTTTAACGCCGCACTCAGCAATATTCCAGTTATATGACGGCGGTCTGCTAATAATCGAGTATGGACCAGACAATCAAGTGATTGACATCATGAGCATCGATCCACGCAATGGGATATGATGACATGCATCAACCAAGTCAGCGAGCCTGACCGCCCGATCCCGTTAGTCGCCTCTTACGACAAGCATAGTCGCCTTTTACGGCAAACATGTGTTGCTGGAGACCTATTCTACCCTTTTTGTAAATGTAAATTGAGCAAAGGGATCGACAATATTCTTAGGATGGCCAGGGATTAAAAAATATATAATTAATTCGAGAAGAGAACTGAAAAAAATAATTATTGTACCAAAAATGTTCTCTGGACAATACTGGATGTCCTGGCCAATATGTGACAAATGAAAATAAAATGAACATGAAAATTGAAAATTGACTGAAAACATTCTTCAACAGGCATCTTTACTAATCACAATTGTGAAATATTGTTTAAGTATATAAATGGGTTTATGGCATCTACAGGGGTTCAACGTTAAACTTTGGCTCCTTATCTCGTCACTATATGGTTGATGTCGATGTGGAGTGTAATTCACTCCACTACATATATCTTGGGACCCTACCTGCATAGAAGAAGCCTGCAGTAGCGAGGACCTGTGGGTCCTGTACGTGAGACGTGTTCCAGGCCCTGTAACTGTCTAGCCTGCTCTGGATGTCCTTGTAAAGAGGATGCACAGCAGTGCTCATGTCCAGGGAGGATTCAGACACAACAGGTGCTGCTTCTGCTGCTGCTGCTGCTCCTATCTCTGTAGTAGTTGGTGGTAATGTATCTGTTGTTGTTACATTATTACTTCCAGAATACTCCCCTAAGATACCATATATAGTGCTTCCATTTGAATCTGAGGATAAAGGTATATTTCGAGGTTCATTTCTGTTCAGATGTGGACATTCAGGGGAGATAACCCTGTGTAGGACATCCGGTTTGTCCATTATCTGCCAACCTGTGTGTGACTTCCTACAGCTGTAGCAGCGAGCCTCGTCTTCGCGACCTGTAGCATAGAATCCTGACTGCGCCAGCCTCATGGGCGAGGCATGGACGGGTGTCCCAGAGAAGGACTGCAGTCTCCGAATCTCGTGACACATCTCCTCCTCCACGGGCACCTGTCCCTCCATCTGTACCCTCCCCAGATAGGTCGTCAGTGATGTTGTGAAGGGCTGGGCCATCAGCTCGGGCACTGACAGATACTGGGGCTGGATTTGAAATAGACTAGAAATAACTCTTTCTATTTTCTCAGAAAGACTGTCAAAATATTTCTCAACTGTTCTCATAATGTAATGTCTACTTAATTGTTTGAGCTCGCCAGTATTAGAAGGATGTGTCGGTGTATGTCTTTCACGTGTGGGGCGTATCTTGCACTTATCTGTACTCAGCTGATGTTCAATGGACGAACACAATGAATTATCACATTGTCCATCGATATAATTTAGAAATGTATATTCATGTGTTTGAGAGGAATAAGCATGTAGCAGATTACACACCACAAGCAACAGACGAATACAACCCACATCTCTTGGTTTCTTTCTTGCTGACTTTCGTACATAAGAATAACCACTTCTGCATTCTATTTCACCCGACATCTTGTCATGATGATCGTTTCGATTTTGTGTTTTGAAAGAACCGCATCTTTGTAAGTGTTCTTGTGTCATCTGTAAATGGTTAGTTGATGATTGACCGAGGCAAATACAGGCTACGATCACTACACTTACCACAGCTGTGGTAGTTAATGACGTTGATCGGAAATCGTTGCTGACTGAGTCCATGACGTTGACGTTATACATACGTCCTTGTGTCCTGAATGGAGAATAAGAACACCTATTAATATAGTTGGAAATAACCGTCGCGTTACACAAGCTGGTATCAAATATATGATAACATTCTTCAAAATATAAATAACATTATAAAAAAACGGCGACTCTCTAGATTCTGGGATTACATACCTTTCGATACTGAAGGCAAATAGATTGTCCCTTACTCCGAGTCATCATAAGTAATTACTCCTTGACAACAAACCTCTAACAACCGATTGTGACATATATATTATTGTCAAAATAGAAAATGTGGGTTTGTATATATAAATACAGAATATAGCTACACAGTATAACCACGCACATGGAACCATCCTGTAGACGTTTGTGTGAAAGACGTGATATTGCTGCTGTGGCACACTCACTCACTCACTCACTCACTCACTCACTCACTTACTCACTCACTCACTCACTCACTCACTTACTCACTCACTCACTCACTCACTCACTCACTCACTTACTCACTCACTCACTCACTCACTCACTCACTCACTCACTTACTCACTCACTCACTCACTTACTCACTCACTCACTCACTCACTCACTCACTCACTTACTCACTCACTCACTCACTCACTCACGCACTAATATACCTTGGTCCTTCATGAAAGAAACTTAGTTCATATGTTTATCTTAAATACCATTAATACAGTCAATTTTGATAAAACGATTACAGTGTTTGAAGATTATAAAACAATTTCTATAATGTATGAACAACTCGTGAGGGAACATACCTTTCACGTGGCTAAGCTGGTCGGTTATAAGTTATGCCATATCATGTACTGTTCGAGAACGATACATCATTTCTAAATATAGAAATCGGTTTTCCCAACATCCGCAGTTAATTTCGTAGCATTATAACGATTACTAAATACAGTCATGCATAGAGATAAACTTCACAAGCATGTATCAAAAGAAGGCTGTCGCATAGATAGATACAACGTTGACTTTGAACTTATTTACTCCTGGCAGCGAGAGCATTTGTTTACCACGATAGAGAGGCAGAAGGACGAACCTGTTAGGGACAACTGTGTATTGATCTAGCTATACTGTTGACTGTTGAACCCCGCGTATTTGAAGACGATACTACGTCTGCAGACAATGTGACTGGTGCTGGTCGACTCGTGATAAACAAACAGGTAGACTGTGCCAGGATCACCCAAACCCTCTACAGGTTAGTAATGCTGAAGGATGTTTTACTACATCACACTGAAACAGAATCCGATCTCGACACATATGATACTCACTGGGATATATATAGTGTCATGCTACATCGAAACCTGACACCCGAGAGTGGGTTATTGTCCCTTTGTAAACACCCATCCTCTCTTTATGTAAAGGATAAGAACAGAATATAGCAAACACCCCCGACTAGTACACGTGGCCCCCTTCACTGTGCCCTTCCTCATGGAGACGCCATTCTACTTTGTGCATCACACAGGTTATGTGTGTTTGCTGCGTCTGGTCACACACACGTATCAATGTGAATATTTCCTAGAGTAGGATTTTATATAGCATTACGAGAGCTAAGGAGATACATTCCTTTATTTACAAGAAGGACGACTACACCTTTCTAATAGTCAACTTTCCCTTCATATCGAGCAAAATCCCAGCACTTGATATACTGAGTCTCTAATAAACGTCTATAGTACATTCGGTATTATTTATATCTAATAGATAATATAATATCCATGTCATCTATATCCATATTGGGTGTACATCTGAAATGTGTGTATAGCCTCTATTTTCAAAATGGCTGTGTAGCTAATACCATCTATACAAACAATGGATGTAAAGTCATTATCATCTGTATCGAAAACGGACGTATAGCGGATGTAATTTATTACCAAAATGGATGTACAAACCATGGATGTAACGTCATTATCATCTGTATCGAAAACGGATGTATAGCCGATGTAATTTATTACCAAAATGGATGTACAAGCCATGGATGTAAAGTCATTATCATCTGTATCGAAAACGGATGTAAAGCCGATGTAATTTATTGCCAAAATGGATGTACAAACCATGGATGTAAAGTCATTATCATCTGTATCGAAAACGGATGTAAAGCCGATGTAATTTATTGCCAAAATGGATGTACAAAACATGGATGTAAAGTCATTATCATCTGGATCGAAAACGGATGTAAGGCCGATGTAATTTATCTCTTATGAATTTTTTTATTAGGCATAATACGTTGCACAGAGACCACTTATCGGTGAACAGAGCGGTCATGTCTAAAAATAGAACTGGGAATCCCACATATTTCACAATACATGCACATAACCTTAAAAGGTGATTGAGCGGAGGATACTGAGAGGAGTGGGTCCGTCTCCTGCACAGGAACTCGATGATAGCTTGCATAACATAATATATTCGTATAACAAAAATACACCCCTCTTTCTATGTATATAGAGGGGTGTGATTTTTTTCTATAGGAATATATTATGTTATACATGCTATCATCGAGTTCCTGTAGTCTCCCGCTGTGTATAGACTCAGTATGGCAGATTGTATGGTAATATATCATTAGTCATTAGATTTTGTGAAATTACTGGTATCAACTGATACTGTATTCTAACTGCTTCGCCCACTCTCATGTGTCACTCTAACAAAATAGAGGTGTTTCGGCTATACATTACCCCAATAGATGACGATTAGAATACGATAAATGTACGTACGTGCTGTACGTTGGACGATCCGGTCACAAATGGACACTCCTGTTGTAACGCGGATACATACATGTATATCTTACACGAAATATCTTAAAATTATTTCATAATGTACTGAAATACACTTATCTTCAAGCAGAGTCGATTGTACAGTTCCTGCTATATCATGAGCATGTGTTTATGAATCACTATCAGGAAGTGCCAACTTGTGCTGATACCAATGTTCTCGAAAGTAACTCGGGGTATTTACGATTGTTTGTGCTGTTCTCTGTCAAATAAACATAATCATACAACCGACTTTTTTTTGCAGAGATCTCTTATGAATTTTAAAAAGGTTTGGGCGCGTTAATTTAGAGTGAGTGAATATGGTTTTACGACGCTTTGAGCAATATTCCAGCAATATCACGGCGGGGGACACCAGAAATGGGCTTAACACGTTGTACCCATGTCGGGAATCGACCCCGAGTCTTCGGCGAAACGAGAGAACGCTTCTACCACCAGGCTACCCGACCGGTCCTTTTATTTAGAAGATACATATATACACTTCCTGGTCTAATGCGAAATTCGTTACATTAAACAATTGAAGTTATAAAAGTTATGTTTTATTTAACTCATGTCCCGTACATATATGTAAGTGTAGGACACATGTTACCTCGAAAATCATGGATATATCATATTTTTCTATGCTGGTATGTGGTTTGTTTGTTTGTTGCACTCAGCAATATTACAGCTATATGACGGCGTCTGTAAATAATCGAGTCTGGACCAGACAACCCAGTGATTGAACATCGATCAACGCAATTGGGATTGATGACATGCATCAACCAAGTCAGCAAACGTGACCACCCGATGCCGTTGGTCGCCTCTTACGACAAGACAAGCACAGTCGCCTTTTACAGCAAGCATGGGTTTTTAAAGACCTATTCTGCTCCGGTCCAACGACTGTGAAGATATCTCTAGATGTGATGTTAATGGTTGATGTCTTATGATTAAGGAAGGGTTTTGTCAGTTTCATGCATGTAGAGATATCACTGAGAGTGAAATATCACAAGCCATCTGCATTACACATGAACGGTTACTTTGTTCATTTACTAAATATTACCATTTATTGTTAAACATATATATGAACTTGTATTTTATACTTGCACTATATCAGATGTTTGTCTTAAAGGTCTTATTAGGCCTTTGCGTTAAAATATGATCGTGTTCCAAGCTCATATAGGCCGATATTATTTTCAATTCAGGAACAATTTACAGGTTATTAGCTATTTTTTTTATACAAATGAACTGACTTCCTGAGTACAGATGGTCTTACAAAAGATGTTTATTTTCAGATACATTAACGGAAGAAGCGAATAGTAGAATACACGAGACCAGGGATGACTGAAGATGGATGCTGGCCTGCATTATACCAATGAGGACATCCGAAACATCCCCAGCATGCTGAGGGATTTGGATGTCCAAGACATACAAGCAGATGCCGACTGTCTTCCTCTCCAGGAGAGATGCGCGCTATGCTTCGTCCAGGGACGCGGGGACCCGAAACACCGGGAATACCGCCAGATGAGCAGGAGGCGAGAGTCGTTTGGCGGAATCGGTGTCGGTGGCCATAGCCCACTCTACCTGTCTGAGACGGGGCTGTTCAGGTCACGTAAGTGTTGCCTCAGTAAACAGTAGGGGTACAGCCCTCAGCAGCTGCGTCACTATCAAGACCAAATATGCAGAAAGTTGGAGTGACGTTGTCATTCAGACAGGTTCCAATGAAACCAAGCCATAGTTTTCAATGGCAATTCTACCATGATGTTCAAAAGTCTGTTCTTTTATGTATTTTTGTTTATTTGTTGCATTTCATATTGTTTTTACAAAACAGAAAAACAGTGACTTCCATGTTAAAAAAAATGTGTATGGCATGATGACCAATATTTATAGAATCTGTCTGAATTCCCACTCCTAAGTGCTGTACATTTGGAGATGAAGTGGCTCTGCTTCAGTTCTGTATCTTTACATGAGAAAAGCGTTTTTGGCAAAGAATAATTATAATATTTAATTGGTCATTACTTTTGAATTGGTATCCAAGCAAAACATATCGTTTGGTGATATTTCCTTTGATTTGAGAGCTGGTATGGAGCCAAAGTTCCAGTGCTGTCCAGATCGTTTTTACTTGGCTGCAATCCCAAAACAAATTTTCAGTCGTTTCTATGTGTGTGACACAGAGGCTACAAGTTCCATCTAATATACAAGTTGTACCGTCTGTGTTCTGTGTTCTGCTTTGTCGGCTAATCTACGCCATGTCACCAACTGAATCAATTATTTGTATAGAATCGGAATCGTACAAAGGACAATGTGTCTATGTTATTTACAATACAAAGATGATCACTGAAGCTGAAATCAGCAACTGCATCTCGTACAGGGTGTCTCTTTAAATATTGAAACATGTGACGTGTGGCGTCCAGAGTTACGTCCCTTCGCTGATCTTCACCCAGTCAAAATACGATATTATATATATTGAGTAATTACGATCTAATCTCGACGTGTTATGTCTCTGTGAATACTGGTAACTTGAGATGAGTTCGATGTACGTGGACCTAGACGGTGTGCACATACCAAACCTCTTGCATTCGGGTATATTGTAATCTTAACAGGTGATGTGGTATACTAAAACTACATATTTGGCAGGTATAATGCGGTATGCTGAATACGAAAGTATTATTCATAACTGTACACATTTTGAACAATCGTGTTATGATAGGAAAATTTAACAGACATTGTCTTTTTTCCTCCCAACTGTGTATATATCGGTACTGACAAGCTTATGGGTTTCGTATGTGTGTTGGGATTATTGACTTGATAAGGATGTGGGCATGGTGATTGTGGGAGAAACCCGCTGTTGTTCGATTTTACTAATCGCTGTTTACGCTACTGGTTAAAATGTCACGTTTGCCTCGACGTAGGTTACCTGGAGTTATTATGCTTGTATTTCTAGAAAAGTTCCGGGACAATACTTGGACTTCCTGTATACGTACAACCCTTGGTTTGGGATCTGTTAGGGTTGGTTAATTGTAAAATGACTTTTTGTAACACTTTCCTGCCAGTGCTGACTATAGACTCGAAGACTGATCTCACTGAAAGTTCAACATATGATATTTACTGCCATTGCAAGCCCTTGCTGGAAACAGAGGTATATCTTATATATCACACAAATATATCCTGCAAAATCTTCGGAACAAGTTTTAGACTAGGACTTAATGACATCATTGAATAGAAAACACCAAGAATTTAAATTGTTGTAACAGTTTGGAAGATGAAGTTCTTGTCATGTGCATTTGTACTATATATGATTGGTTGGTTAACGCCGCACTCCAACATTCCAGCAATATGATGGTGATCTGTAAATAATCGAGTTTTGACCAGACAATCTAGTGTTTGACATCATGAGCATCGACCTACTCAATTGGGATACGGTGGCATGCATGAACTAAGTCGGAGAGCCTGACCACTCGATCCTGTTAGACGCCTCTTAAGACAAACATGGGTTGCTGATGACCTATTCTACCCCTTATCTTCACGTGTTCGTGCTGCATATAACGACATGAAATTCAAAGAAAGTTTTCTTTCAATAATTATTTTCCATTCTTTCCCTCCTTGTTGATAAATAATGATAAATCAATATACAAGCATGTTGCGCTATTTATCCATAATGTGTGTATATTGCGAAGTAAATAAAAGCTTGACTTTAAATATGTTAATATCATAATATACACGTGTGCAATATTATTATGTGTACCATTATAAATAAGTAAATATTCCGGGGTAGAATAGGTCTTCAGCAACCCATGCTTGCCGTAAAAGGTGACTATGCTTGTCGTAAGAGGCGACTAACGGGATCGGGTGGTCAGGCTCACTGACTTGGATGATGCTCGTCATCAGTCCCAATTGCGTGGATTGATTCCCATGATGACAATCACTGGATTGCCTGGTCAAGACTCGATTATTTACAGACCGCCGTCATATAGCTAGAATATTGCCGAGTGCGGCGTTAAACGACAAATCAACCAATCAACCATCAATACGTCTTGGCCATTGGTCTTTCGTACTATAAACAATTGAATTGACTATATGGTATGGGTAGTCCACCTATCGCCCCTACCCTACGCCCCAATTCCCAGTATGTTACCCAGAAATTACAGACCAGTGAACAAAGTACTGTACTATTGCGCTGCATTGTGAAATAATACAACTCATTATAATAAGCTCAACGCTCACGTTTGATCATGACTCACTTATTATTTTATAATTGCTCGCAAATGTTAATGGTTGTTATATCCAGAAACCGGGAGTCTAACCTGCTTCCAATGCGGCCAGGTTCTGAAAGTGATGGCGGGGGAGGATCCTTTGTACAAACACGTGGATCTCTACCGGAACTGCAGCCATGCCTGTAGAATGCTGGGAAGGCGACCTAGATCGGGGGTGAGTTGCGTTAAGGGCATTGTGTTTCCTCCACATTCAGATCACTGGGTGCGTGTGTACAGTGTCATCCACATTGTTGGTAGGTCATTTAAACGGTTATCAAACTTACCTCTTGCTATATTTGCGTCAACTATGTACATATTTTTGAATATATATAAATATACATGTTTACTACTATGGTCTATTTTTCTCATTAAATATCAATTTGTGGGAATAACTAACGCGTTTCTTTCTAAACACAAGTATTATCTTTAAGAATTACGAGTTTTTGTCATCCCAACCCTAAATAAATCAATAATTAACTTGACTATACTAGTACGTGATATGAACAATATTCAATTATCACTCAACTATCGTTCAAAGGTGCTCTGGTGCTGTAGGATGTATATTTGTATCTTTGATATAAACTTAACGATCATGTCATGAGTTCGCGTTTTCATTAGTATTACAAAACCTAACTGAAAATGGTACTGATGACTAATGTGAATGTATAGTACAGAATGCTGGTTATGAAATATTTTATGAATTTCTGGTATTATTTTGTAATGCTGCCCAAAACAGTAGGAGGTAGAATGTCTGATACCTGATTGGATACATGACTTCTTAATTCTCTTATCAATTAGTGGTTCTAACCCAATTTCGGCGTTAAACAACAAACAAAACAAGCTTGCTCATACCAACTGATGTCAAATGAACATTTTATATACTCGAATTAATGTTTTTCCATTAAGTAGATATTTTAGCTTCCTCGTGAAGTTTATCATTTTCATTAATGATGCTATCAACGTTACAAACATATTTACCATTAGCCATCGTGTTATTTAATACTGTTTTCCTTTCTTTTCAATATTTTACAAAAATCTAAACTACCATAACCAAGATCCCCCCAATAACCTTTATTGTTACCTCCACAACCCAACTTTGCCATTTGTTACCTGGCTTGACACAAACTCAACAGGAGTTGTCCCCCTTATATCTATCTTTCTGCTTAAACTCAATCCACTCTAGATCTGTTACCACTCGCCCTTAGACGAAAAGACACAGTGACTTTTTGAACAGATTGATACACAATCATTGCCATATATATACACATAAAAAAAGTGAAGCACCCCCCAGAATTTTTTTTGTATAGTAAATAAGAATCACGAAAGAATTAGAGAAAGCATTATATTTTTAAAGAGCAATCATCTGAGAACAAGCAAGACAAAACAATTTTGAGCAAGAATTAAATTTTAATAGAGATATGGTTGCCCAAACACCGGTACTGTTTTTACCACAACATAACACCCTCTATAAGTATAGGGGCGGTCGGGTAGCCTAGCGGTTAAAGCGTTCGCTCGTCACGCCGAAGACCCGGGTTCGATTCCCGATATGGGTACAATGTGTGAAGCCCATTTCTGGTGTCCCCCGCCGTGATATTGCTGGAATAATGCTAAAAGCGGCGTAAAACCATATTCACTCACTCACTCTATAAGTATAGCACTGTTAATCTTGAACAACGATAAATTATTGCACATGATGAATAAAAATATGTGTAATAACCTCCATTAATGACATTCGCGTGTCAAAAAGTTTAATAACGGGTGGGGCCACCACATGCCCGGATGACAGCCTCGACCCTTCTCGTCATCCCTCCAGTCAGACGTCGGATCGTCTCAAGGGGAAATAGCGCCCATTCGTGATGCAAAGCTGCTGCCAATTCTTCCAGATTGTGTGGAGGAGGGTCCATTGCCTGCACTCTACGCCCAAGAATGTGCTCTATGGGGTTAAGATCTGGACTCATTGCAGCCCAAGGTAGAGTTGCAATGGCGTTGTTTGCCAAATATGCAGTCACAGCTCTTGAACGTGGGGTCTAGCGTTATCGTCCATGAACAGGGGTCTTGATGCAAGAGAGTGGTTGACAAAATTGGGAACAACAACTGGTTCCAGAACTCCCCGGATGTAACGTTCACCATTGAGATTGCCCCTTATAGTCACACGGTCTAGCTTGCAATCGTGGGATATGCACCCCCATATCATCACAGAACCACCACCAAACGGAACAGTTGGTTTAATGTTCTGGGGGTGTATGCTGTACCTTGGTGCCTCCACACACTCGTTCGACCATCATTTACATGCAGCTGAAACCTGCTTTCATCTGACCAATGGATACGTTTCCATGCTCTGAGGTTCCACCCCATTGTAATCGCAGTCTCCGATGTACCAGGTGGCGTTTGACGACTCTTCGGACCCTCATTCCAGCAGTTCTTAAACGATTCCGCAATGTTTGGCAAGACAGACGTCTATGGGGTAACCAATTAAGCCTCAGGAAGGTGCTCGTCGCAAATGAATTTCTTCGCACTAATCGCAGTAATATCCTGTTTTCACGTCCTGACGTCACAGGAGGGCGTCCTGTACGTGCCAGGTCCTTTACTGAATTGGTTTGGGCGTGTTTTCGCACTAGTCTGCTGATTACTGAGTACTGGTAATCCAGTTGACGTCCATTCGCCCTGAAAGACATCCCTGCGGCATGCATACCAATGATTCTCCATCTAAGTGCTTCACATATTCTCCTTCTTGCCTTTTCAGACTTGACGATTACACAAAACAGTTTACACTGTTTTCAGTGCAATTATTTGATTCGCGAACATAGTTTCTTTTGCTGAGTGCTAGGGATGCATGATACACGTGCAAAACACGGGATATTGGGACGTCACCATCACGCATCAAGGTCACATTATTCGGACAAAACAACATTAATATCGTAATTAGTATTGCCATCAACATTAAGCATTATGTTAGTGTATTATCATACATAATATTAGGGGGCGCTTAACATTTTTTTATGTGTATATGTCCTTATCATACAATCAGTTGTGAAGATTCATTTAAAAACAGAAATCGATGCCATTTTAAAAGATGCACTGTGACACTACATGTAAGTTTTAGGTACGTATATGGTTACCGTGGCTGTTGTTGCAGACAGATGTGCCGGCACCCCCGTCGATGATTACCGTGGCGGCACGACGTCGGCTGTTTTCGGAGTAAACAACATTCCAAGGCCACATCTTCCATTCCTAATTACATATCGATGCCCTGTTTATGTGAAAAACATTCAGTGAATCTGTGACAAATACATGGGTATAAATTGGATATTTTTTTATTTTTTTATTTCATCCTGGGTATGTTTTAGCAGATCCTTTTGAACCTTAGAACCCTGAAAATCCCAGATATTAATAATATCGATTTAGGAGTGACAGTTGCTTGAAATGGACTTTCATAATATGTACACATTGACCGAAACAAGTATCGGGGTTCTGCTTTCCGGTGTTGTCATTCTGCCTCATATAAATTAAAAAAAGTCAACGCCAGAGAATAGTGAGTCTCGATTATCTGCAAAAAAAATGGAAAAGACCGTTTGGCGTAAAAGGAAAAGTAGTGGTAATAAATGATAGGAATAGGTCACGGAAAATCGATGATGGAGTCAGCAAAGTATATTTCTCAGATGCGAGATGACTGTTAAGATTATAATTGTTAGTCGTAGACGCGTCCCGTGCGGATGATTGCCACAATGCCTGTCTTGCCGCGCCACCAATACGTGAGATGTGTCTCGGGAGTGAACCACAGATTGGGTAGATATTTGCCCGAGGGTCTCTAGGATTCAATCACCAGTTTAACAGCACTGTACCACGTTTGAGGGCCTGCTATTTTAGCCACAGAAGACATGCCCTGACTCCTTATTCTCAGACGTTGACGTTATATATTTGTGATAAATTATCATAGACTCTAATGTTCATTTTACTAGAATTAGAGCTTCTCCGCTCATTGTATCTGCATCTGAAATATGTACGCTTTACTCCTTTGTCCTGCTAATAAAGAAATGTCTGTACGTTGTTTTTTGGTTTTTGTTGCAAGGGGCGCCTGACATACGTACATAATTGTCATCTGCTAGGACACATGCTATTTATTCAATGCGTTATCCTTACCACAATCCTACCCGTCGGGTTCCAGTAACCCATGGTTTGATCTGGGACAGCGTAGAGTCCCAGTAACCCATTGTTTAATGTGGACAGTGTAGGGTCCCAGTAACACACGGTTTGATCTGGGACAGCGTTGGGGCCCAGTAACCCATGGTTTGATCTGAGACAGCGTAGAGTCCCAGTAACCCATTGTTTAATGTGGACAGTGTAGGGTCCCAGTAACACACGGTTTGATCTGGGACAGCGTTGGGGCCCAGTAACCCATTGTTGGATCTGAAACAGCGTACTCTCCTAGTAAGACATGGTTTGATCTGGCACAGTGTAGGGTCACAGTAACACGGTTTGATCGGGGACAGCGTAGGGTTACAGTAACCCTTGTTTGGTCTAGGAAAACGTAAGGTCCCAGTAGCCCATGGTTGGATCTGGGACCGCGTAGGGTCCTAGTAAGACATGGTTTGATCTGGGACATTGCGGGATCCCAGTAACACACGGTTTCATCTGGGACAGCGTAGGGTACCAGTAACCGATGGTTTTATCTGACACAGCGTAGGGTCCCAGTAACACATTGTTTGATCTTGGACAGTGTAGGGTCCAAGAAACACATGGTTTCATCTGGGGCAGAGTAGGGTCCCAGTAACACATTGTTTGATCTGGGAACGCGTAGGATCCAAGTTAGGCATGGTATGATCTTGGGCAGCCTAGTGTCCCAGTAAGGCATGGTTTGATCTGAGACAGCGTAGGGTCCCAGTAACCCATGGTTTGATCTGAGACAGTGTAGGGTCCCAGTAAGGCATGGTTTGATCTGTGACAGTATAGGGTCTTAGTAACCTATGGTTTGATCTGGGAGAGCGTAAGGTCCTAGCAACGCATGGTTTGATCTGGGACAGTGTAGGGTCCCAGTAACAAATGGTTCGAACTGGGACAGCGTAGGGGCTCAGTAAAACATGGTTGGATCTGGGACAGTGTAGGGTCCCAGTCAACATTGTTGGACCTTAGACAGCGTATGGTCTCAGTAACACATTGCTTGATTTGGAACAGCGTTGTGTCCCAGTAAGTTAAGGTTTGATCTGGCACAGCATAGGGTCCCAGTAACCAATAGCTTGATCTAGGACAGCGTAGGGTCCCAGTAACACATGGTTGGATCTAGGACAGCATAGGGACCCAGTAACCCAAGGTTGGATCTGTGAAAGCGTAGGATCCCATAACACATGGTTTGATCTGAGACAGCGTAGGGTGCCAGTAACGCATGATTTCATCTGGGACAGCGTAGGGTCCCAGTAGCCCATGGTTGGATCTGGGACAATGTAGGGTCCCAGTAACACATTGATGGATCTGAGACAGCGTAGGGTCCCAGTAACAAATGGTATATTTTGGACAACGTAGGGTCCCAGTAACCCATGGTTTGATCTGGGACTGCGTGGGGTCCAAGTAAAACATGGTTGGATCTGGGACAGTGTAGGGTCCCAGTAACACATTGTTGGATCTTAGACAGCGTATGGTCACAGTAACACATTGCTTGATTTGGAACAGCGTTGTGTCCCAGTAAGTTAAGGTTTGATCTGGCACAGCATAGGGTCCCAGTAACCCATAGTTTGATCTGGGACAGCGTAGGGTCCCAGTAACACATGGTTAGATCTGGGACAGAGTAGGGTTCAAGTAACACATTGTTTGATCTGTGAAAGCGTACGGTCCCAGTAACACATGGTTGGATCTAGGACAGCATAGGGACCCAGTAACCCAAGGTTGGATCTGTGAAAGCGTAGGATCCCATAACACATGGTTTGATCTGAGACTGCGTTGGGTCCTAGTTAGGCATGGTTTTATCTTTGGCAGCCTCGTGTCACAGAAAGGCATGGTTTGATCTGAGACAGCGTAGGGTCCCAGTAACGCATGATTTCATCTGGGACAGCGTAGGGTCCCAGTAGCCCATGGTTGGATCTGGGACTATGTAGGGTCCCAGTAACACATTGATGGATCTGAGACAGCTTAGGGTCCCAGTAACAAATGGTATATTTTGGACAACGTAGGGTCCCAGTAACCCATGGTTTGATCTGGGACTGCGTGGGGTCCAAGTAAAACATGGTTTATTCTGGGACAGCGTAGGGTCCCATTACACATGGTTTTATCTGGGACAGAATAGGCTCAGAGTAACACATATTTTGATCTTGGACAGCGTCGGGTTCCAGTAACACATGGTTGGATCTGGGACGGAGTAGGGTCCTAGTAACCCATGGTTTGATCTGGGAGAACGTTTAGTCCTAATAAGGCATGGTTGGATCTGGGAAAGCGTAGGGTTCCAGTAACCCATGGTTTGATCTGGCACAACGTAGGGTCCCAGTGACACGTTGTTTGATCTGGGAAGGCGTAGGGTCTCAGTAACACATTGTTTGATCTGGGAAGGCGTATGGTCACAGTAACGCATTGTTTGATCGGGGAAGGTTTAGGGTCACAGTAACACATGGTTTTATCTGGGACAACGGAGGGGCCAGGGAAGACATTGTTTGATTTGGGAAGGCGCAGGGTCCCAGTAACACATAGTTTTACCTGGGACAGCGTAGGGTCCCAGTAAACCATGGTTTGATCTGGAGCAACATAGGGTCCCAGTAACACATGGTTGGATCTGGGAAAGCATAGGGTCCCATAACCCATGGTTTGATCTTGGGCAGCATTGTTGGATCTGAGACAACGTAGGGTCCCGGTAACATATTGTTGGATCTGAGACAGCGTAGGGTCCCAGTAACGCATGGTTTGCTCTGAGACAGCATAGGGTCCCAGTCACTAATTGTTTGATCTGGGACAGCGTAGGGTCCAAGTAACCCATGGTTTGATCTGGGATAGAGTAGGGCCAAGTAACACATTGTTTGATCTGGGACGGCGTAGGGCCACAGTAACACATTGTTAGATCTGGGAAAGCATAGAGTCCCATAACCCATGGTTTAATCTTGGTCAGCATAGTGTCCTAATAAGATCTGGGACAGCGTAGGGTCCTAGTTAGGCACGGTTTGGTCTGGGACAGTGTAGGGTCCCAGTAACAGACGGTTTGATCAGGGACAGCGTAGGATCCCAGTAACACATGGTTTGACCTGGGACAGTGTATGGTCCCAGTAACAGACGGTTTGATCAGGGACAGCGTAGGGTCACAGTAACACATGGTTTCATCTGGGACAGCGAAGGGTCCTAGTAAGGCATGGTTTGATCTGGGACAACGTAGCGTCCATTTAAGGCATGGTTTGCTCTGGGGCAGCGTAGGGTCCTAAAAAGGCATGGTTTGCTCTGGGGCAGCGTAGGGTCCTAAAAAGTCATTGTTGGATCTGAGACAGTGCAGGGTCCAAGTAACGCATGGTTTGATCTGTCGAGCAATATGTAGCCGGGCGTTGTCATGTTGAAACGTAATACCTGGGCCATGACGACGAAAAACGGTAGAACAACAGGGCCGCGGTAGCGCTGTCAATACAGATTTCCCTCTACCACTATCAAACGTGTCCTCTGTCTTGCTGTAATCCCACCCCATTCCATAACGCTGCCGCCCCCGAACCGATCTTCTTCCATGACACAATGATTGACGTAACGTTCACCTCGATGTCGATACACTCGAATCCCTCAATCGCTGTGGCTGAGGTGAAAACGAGACTCGTCAGTGAATAGAACTTGTCCACACTGCATGACCGTCCAGCGTAGACGCTGTCTGCACCAGTGTACACGTGCTTGACGGTGGTTTCCTGTCAAAATGGGACGTCTGTCGGGTCTTCTGGGGACAATCCCTGCACATCTGAGGCGGCGACGTACGGTTTGTGAAGATATTCGTAGAAGGCCAGGGATGCTTCTTGCAGTCACTGTTGCTGGCTGGAATCGATTTCGTAGGTGTGTTGTTCGAATCCAGTTGTCTTGCCGATTATTGGTTACGCGTGGCCTGCCACTCCGAGGATGGTCTCTGACTGCATTCGGCAATGATGTTTCTGTGGACGTTAATTGTCTTGCAACATCACGTTGACTCGATCCTGCTTCAAGCATACCAATGGCTCGCAGACGCTAATTTTCGGACAGGCGTGGCATTTCGTAAGGTTGAATAATTGCGTAACTTTGTTGTTTTTCTGAGTGGTTGTAATCACGATGCTAAATAATGCATATGGAATCCCGTTAACGCACATGTTTGTATACCCATTTTTGGGTTGTGAAATGTATGGGGCTTGCATAAAAGTCAACTTTTGCATGGAATGCATGCTTTTCTGTAGCAGTTGCGTTTTTGTGACTTGATTCCATACATGTACTACAATATTGAAAACCAAACTTTACTTGTTTGAAAAATACACTAAAATATTGGTGTCACAGGAACTTTCGTTGTTGAGTAAACATATGAATATGACTCATAACAAGAGGCATGACATCCTAACGTTTGAAATTCAGTAAACTTCGTTTATAATGAACTCAAAGGGGCGATTAATTTTAGTTCGTTATAACAGTAGTTCGTTATAAGCATTTATGCAGCAGACATACATAAAATGGCTGCGACAAAAAAATCAGTTCCTTATAATCGCGTTCAGTATGAACGCAGTTAACTTTAAACATCACGTAAGAGCTTAAAATAACTTTGCTCGATAACACGGTAACGTGAAGACACAATCATTCTGTAGTCAGGTGACTGTATTCAGGGAGACGTGGCTCCACTGATACTGTACCAAGTAACTGGTCCCTGGTCTCCTTTGCGCTGCGACATATTCCTTGAAGTAGGAGACGAAAAGAAAGAGACTCACGACGTGAGTTACCTGCATTTATTGTCATTATATATTAATATCTATCTTGGCTAATTGTTGGCTAAGTTGAACAATAACACCTGAAACTTACATCGATGTCGTAAGTAAAGATTATGGTGAGTAAGTGAGGAGGGAAATGATCTGACATTGATTTGGGGGAAGAAGTAAAATATTCTAGAATTTTCTATTTATTTTGATCGCCACGCATGCACTTAAAATAGCCCTGACTATCGTCGATAGGCGTCCTACTTTGCCTTCTGGAGAGGAATGTACAGGGTGAATGTGGTATCCGACAGACTGTGTTGAGGGATATAATGGTGTCCTCAATTGATTCCTAATCACGTGAGTCTGCACATGTCTGCGCACCCATACACTTGCGATACATATAGACATATTAAACAGCGGAGTTTGCATTAAAGAGTCAGGTGATATATCTGCCCAACACATAACACCGACTAGATGCAACGCGACAGCGGCAAGGCGCATTTATACACCATGACATTCATATTTTTATTGTTTTACAAGCTATTGAAACGCTATTGAAATTGCACCATGCTATTCACAGCCACGGGGAAATAATGTTATCATAGTGTTTTGATCGTGTCGCGGTGACCCACGGTATTCCCTGAACATGGTCATATAAGGCAAAGCATATTCAGTCTATACAACAACGTGTATTTAGTGTATGGGACACCGTATTCAACATATAAGGCAGCTTATTCAGCTACGAAAACAAAGTAATCACCATATACATCAGGGGGCACGGGTGGCCCAGTCGTCTAAGGCCCCGCGATTTGCTGTGCAGAGTTGCGTCCCTTGGGCACGCCAGAAACCTATGATTGTGGGTTCGAATCCCGGTTCGCCCCGATTATGTTTCTAGGTTTGTCAGCACCATACCCGTGCTCGTGGGTTTCACCGAAGTGGTAAACGTCTTAGACCTGCATCACTTCGGGCTTTCCTCCCACATTAAGCTGACACGCCGTGATATAACTGGAATAATGTTAAAAGCGGCGTTAAACACAACTCACTCACTCACTCACCCATATACATCAATATATTCAACCTATATGAAAAGTTAACGTATTCAACCTATACAACAAGGTATGTATAAGGGTCAGGCCAGCCATAGTTTCCACCGACCACCTGCACAGATCACTTGTTTGTTATGACAATAGCACTGGGCTCTAAGGAACACCTGGTATGTCGTCTGTGGAAAAAATACAATGTATATATGTATGCTGTAGAGTATAACGTGTTATACCAACCTCCAGCTGAAATTTCTGAAAAGACAGATAGAAAAATGCCAAACAAGAAAAATATGTACATTTAATACTATTATGCTGAGTTGCTTTAAACAGTACTAACAATTAGTCGATAATGTGGTTCAGGGACGAACAATTTGATATGAGTGCACGCGGAATGAGCTGGAGTGAGTAAGTGAGCTGGAATGGCTTTTTAAATACGTTTTACAAACTAAAATAAAAAAGACAATTTGTCCTGTCTTTTGCAAATATCCCAAGCCCTTTACTTGTTTGTTGGTGCAAAGACAAGTTCCACTAATTAAAAAATCTGATAAGGGAATCAGGCCCTTCGAATTCACATTAAGATTGGAAGGTTTTAATAAACTGAACTTGTCTTTGAACCAGCAAACATAAGTAAGGGGTCTTGGGATATACTTTCATGAGATCTTTGTCAGACTGCGCGTCGATCACTCTTAATTGCATTGTCTGACAGTTCAAAACTATTTCCAGACGTCTACCATTCAAATATCAATATTGAATAACTTATATATATTTCATCGTATTGTTGTAGCAATGACTAGCCTTCCTTACTGTCATGTTTCTGTATTATGCTATCCCCCTTAAACCAAATATTTCCAAGATGTCTCTCAGTTCCCAAATCAACTACCTACCCATGCCATCAATCAGTATCATGTAGGTTTTATAAAAAAAAAACACTAGTGTGGATTGTGTGATGATATTCCAAATAATACTATCTGTCTTACTATCCATGTTTGCCCAGTGGGACTTCTGGGCTGTGAGAGGCTATTTTATGGACCGGGTGGTCAGACTCAGTGGCTGGTTGATTGTGTGTCATCGTACCCCGACGGCGTGGTTACAGTTGTTCATACAATCAGTTACTGGTTTGGCTGGTCAAGATGATGTACAGGTCGCCGTTAAAACAAACAAACTAACCTTTTTTGTTTGTCTATTAGTTATCTGTTGATTGTAAATTTAACATTTTCGATTAAAATCTCCACCAGCACGCTGGCATTATATGTATTTGTGCCAATGCAGGTTTATGCAGAGTGACGACCGTCAGAGCCAGCCAACTTCCCACTTCGTCAACACTGTTCAACACGTAAGCTTTGTAAACAGTGGCGCTACGGGGTTATTGTACACACCAAAAAAGCAACACAGACAGTAGAGAAAGTTCAAACATGACCTTCAAATCTGATTCAAAGAAGAAACAGGAGCGTTCAGAACATATTCAAGGTCTGCTGCCGGAGAGTCGCGTGAACATCTTTAAAATACCATCTATTGTTTTTTACTTCGTGCAATGCATAGCTGTACAGTTATACAGAAGTGTAGTTTCTGCCACTGAGGATTCGCAGATGGCAGATTACTGTGAAGAAGACAATACTCTACATGACGCATCTTCAAAACCGAATAGGCTTTACAGAGAAATCAATGAAGATGGTACACTGGTGAAAGTTCTGAGCAAAATACTATACATCGACAGGCACTTTGACATACCATTTACAGGAGCATATTTTGTGGACAGTGTGCTACCCATTTTGGAAAACGAAAGCAATCCTCTTGAAGCCCTTGCTGAACATTCAAAGGGACATCCTGAAGGCACCAGGGAGTGGCTTCGGGAATCCATAAAACAAAGGAGTGAAGTATTGTCATTTCATGGTTTTAAATTTTCTGAGTTACTAACGGTTAGAATAAATAGTATTGAATATGAATATATGGCACCAACATTTGGTCAAAATGCAGAGCCCTGTCTTGTTGATTTGAAACGTTTTCAAGAGAAATTAACAACGCTTTGTGGGACAAGAATGTCTTATACCGAATTGCCAGATAAAGATCTGAGTGATGTCTTGCAACGTGAACAATACCAACAAATTTTGAAAACATTAAATCACCTGGAACATTTATTGGAATATAGGCCACCGATAGATGTCAGCACTGGTCATCCAGATGAGAGTAAGATGCAATATCTGTGCAAAACGTTGGAAAGGTTTTTATTGCAAAGAATAGAGATTGAAAGTCAAAATCAATTAAGTTCACCCTTCATTACACTGCGTGATTATTTCGAAAAATTGGCGAGGAGAGAAGCAGTAGATACGGAGGAAGAAATGCGACATGAAGGTTTGAGGTTTGCATCCTTCAATAGAATAAACGTCAACACTTCATCCCTCCGTCTGGCGGCAGCAGGGTTCTACGCTACAGGAGATGGAGATGAGACAAGGTGCTTCAGCTGTGGTGTGACACACAGGAACTGGACAGTCAATGACAACCCATTTGTTATTCACAGTCAAATTTCTCCAAACTGCATCCATACAGCTAGCACTGATGAAAGGAATGTTCCTATTCAACTTCCATCAGATTATGCATCAGTCAATTCACCAACAGCAAGCAGTGGTAGCACATCAGGGGCGAATAAGTCAGGATACACACCTACCCAACTACAAGGGGCGGTTGGTATAAACATTAACACAACAACAGAAGAAAACAGTCAGAGTGTTGATGAAATACCGGATGTTACTCCTGTGCAGACCGCTCATTACAATGATGGGGGATTGTCTTCATCACAAACATCGACGCTGAGGTTTGAGGATGCCGTACATCCTCACTACAGTAACGCTGCACTGCGTTTAGATTCTTTTCAACTGTGGCCTGAAGGACACAGTCAACATCCCGAAGAACTTGCCAGAGCAGGATTTTTCTATGCTGGTATGTGGTTGGCTGGTTTGTTGTTTAACGCCGCACTCAGCAATATTACAGCTCTATGACGGCGGTCTGTAAATATTCGAGTCTGGACCAGACATCATAATTATCGATCCACGCAATTGGGATCGATGACATGCATCAACCAAGTCACCGAGTCTGACCACCCGATCCCGTTAGTCGCCTTTTACGGCAAGCATGGGTTGCTGAAGACCTATTCTACCCCGGATCTTCACGGGTCTGCTGGTATGTGAGAGAGTAAGTATGGTTTACGTCGCTTTAAGCAATATAACGACAGGTGACACCTGAAATGGGCTTGTACTCACATGGGGGATCGAATCCGGGTCTTCGGCTTGACGATCGAACGCATTAACTTTTTGAATACCCAACCTCCCCTTAGCTGGTATGTACTAAGCACTGACTGACTAATATCTTTACTTGTAGCCACATGTTAACTGTCACAATTATTCTGTCAAATGTTAAAAAATGCAAACATATTTTGTCTTAAATCACTGAGTAAAATGCATGAATATGATGACAGGTTACTCTGACTGTGTGCGGTGCTTTGTCTGCGGTGTTGGTCTGAGGACCTGGGAGGAGGGGGATGACCCCTGGGTGGAGCACGTGCGCTGGAGGTCATCATGTGCCTATTTAGAAGCAGCAAGAGGAAAGAACTTTGTCATCCAGACACTGGCAGCCATTGCGCGTTGCACACAGACATCACAGGTGAATATGAAGACTCTTAAACTGTGACATATGTGGGAATATGTAAATGTGATCTCTATTATCTTATAAATTTTAGTGCTAAGTGCTACTTCCTTGTACTTTCATCTTCAAGTCTGGTGAAAATCATCAGAGTGCTCCCGATACAAGACACAACTATGATACTTCAGAAGAAGGTACGTATATTCCATCGTTAACCGCAACATGACAATCGTTAGTGTGAGGCTAGAACGTGGGAATGTTATTTGGTTGCTTTGAGCGTAACATAGCACAAAACACATGATACATGTATTCTTGCTCAGTAACATTTTATTGCAAGTTTGAAAACATTTTAATGTGTGATTTGTGAACACGGAATCTACTTAGTTTGGCGTACCATTCAGATTGACAATGCTTACATTCTGTCGTTAAAGCAGCATCAGTAATGTTTCGGTGTCTTATGCCTGCCGAAATGTATTTGAAGAAGTATTAGGCTGCGACCGTTGTCTATCATTACTGTTTGACATATAATCGTTTAATACTTTGATAACACTTGGAGCCGTGGAAGTTGAACTAACATTACATGTCGCGGCATTTATTGATATACAGTGTATAAGAATACGATTCAATAATTACAATGTTTTTCTTCAGAGTGAGATTTATTGTGCTTACAAATCATACTCACACTCATCTTCAAAACTTAAAAAATGGAACTGGTATGTATTGCCTTCTTACAAACAAATCATCATACAACCGATACCAAATCACTGGTGAATGGTAAAGCTATGTTTTTAATGTCTATAACACTGCATACAATGCTGAGGTTACTTAGGACCTACGCCTATTGATAACGAAGTAGATGAACGTTCTCCTACAGATGTTTTGAGGACTGGTGTGTGTGGGCGAGCCTTAGAGATGGGTTTCAGCAGAGAACAAGTTAGGTCTGCAGCTCAGTCAACCATTAACAGTAGAGGTGAGTTGACAAGATATCACGATAACTGGCACACAAACAGACGTTAAACACCGTGTGAATCTCTATGCTGGATTCCATTATGTCTTCATATTATATTTTCACCGGGCATTGTCAGAATATTTACCTCTTTGGTTGAAATTCTTATGGAATTCGCTGTGCAGAGTTGCGTCCCTTGGGCACGCCAGAAACCTATGATTGTGGGTTCGAATCCCGGTTCGCCCCGATTATGTTGCTAGGTTTGTCAGCACCATACCCGTGCTCGTGGGTTTCACCGAAGTGGTAAAAGTCTGAGACCTGCATCACTCCTGGCTTTCCTCCCACATTAAACTGACACGCTGTGATGTAACTGGAATACTGTTAAAAGCGGCGTTAAACACAACTCACTCACTCTTAAAAGAATATTTTGTGTTATATTTTCCAGGGAGACAAGCATTAAGGCTAGATGTTCTTCTTGAGAACATATTTGCAGCTGACGGAGAATCAGAACAAGTACAAGCTAGTCAAGGTGGATACTCTGATGTAGAACACCACTCACAGGGACAGACTGGGCAAGAGGTGAAAGAGGTGTTGCGAAGTGGAGTTGGAAACATGGATAGCACATCTTCAGATAAAACTGTCAATAACACAACAAGACAGGCTCACCTGCTCAGATCACCAGCAGGCAAAACAGACAGTGGATACAAATCATTACCCATTGAGAACCATGCCGGATTGCCTCCTACACAGCAAACTTCGGGTAACTTTGAAACTGAACATCCATTTGTAAGTTCAAACATCAAGTACAATCTCGAAATTGTAGCTCCAGAATCACCAGGAGCAAAACCCGCTGTTTCCGAAGAGACAGAAAGACAAAGGCAATCAGATGCACCTGTGAATAGATTCTCAAGTTTGCCTACCAACCGACACGAAGTCAAGGGGATTGATAAAATAAAGAAAAATTATATTAAGAAAGGTAATTATTTTGTTGTAATTCAGTGTATTGGCAGCAACTTATCGTGATACACCAATGCACAATTTAGAGGTATAAAAATGCATTAAGTATAAAAAACTATTCCTATTTGCTAGCTTGGGTTAATTTGTAAGTTGATATTACATAGTGCCAAGTTTCTACTGTTACAGGTAAAAGGAAGGAAGAGGTAAAAGCCACAGAGGAAGAGACACGGCAGCTGAGAGAGTCAAGTACATGTAAGGTCTGTCTTGAGGACCCTGCCAACATCGTCTTCCTTCCCTGTGGACATCTGGTGGCTTGTGCCGTGTGCACACCTGCTCTAGAACGTTGTCCAGTCTGCAGGACACACATCCGGGGGACCGTCCGTGTCCATCTGGCAGATATGGCTTCTCGAGAGAAACAAATTAACTACTAGTAAATGAGACAACTATTTATCGTTTAAGAACATAAAGGCAAAATATAGAATGACGCTTAACTTTTTACAATACCATGGCATGTTGAGATGTGTGAAAATAACGTGTAATAACGTTATCCCTAGAAAAGTAACGGGTTCGCCTGTAGGAACTATTAAAATTGGAATATACAATAGAAAATGTAATGCCTATACATCTTGTCAGTGAGGATAATTTAAGAAAAGATTGGAAACTGATATGTCTGTTCCGGGATTCATAAACAAATAATTATATGAAACTATGTATGGATACAATGAAGTGAAACGTTTTTTTGTATGACAATCGGTTGTGTTACCTTGTTATCCAGTAATATACTGTATATCTATTCATATGTGAATACACATATATACTGTTAAATATGTGTTGTACTATTGTGTGGCTGTTCCATCTTAATATATGTGAGTACTTGGAAATAAAACAGTCAGATACTTCATGTATCTATTGTGAAGCATATTATTAGTCTTTAGGATGAAACACATTTCATTACATGTGCTAGCATAATGAAGAAATGAACTTATATTAATTTGATACACTCTGCTGAAAGGATGACCATAGCTCTGTTTGAAATTGATACAAAAAGGTTGCAACGATGTGTGACTATTGATGAAACCAGATTTCGCCAAACAACAATAACTGCACGTTTCCAATGTTTGTCCATTTATCAAAGGTCACCGATTCCTTTTAATTGTGCTGCCTTGTCACAGCCAAACAATGTGCTCAATTGACTCAAGTGTTTCTGCAAATACACCTATGACATCATGTTATGTCCACAACACTTTTATTGTTACGCATTTCCTTCGGCGTGAGATTCAGAACATATCAATGAACCCTCATAGCTTCTCTCAACTGACATAGCTCTGAGGTAAATATTATTGCCCACTGCTACTCTAACCTCGTCGCAGATAGTCAATCATTTTTATCCCCTTTTTGGCCCAGATGACTGTAGAGGTGACGTTGTCAACTGACGCCACCCACGTGTATTGTTGGCTGGGAAGTTTTGACCCTAGATAGATATATGTTCATGTATCATCCTGGCTTACGATCGCATACATCTATTATCAGGATTATTCTGATAACTGGTCAAACGGTCCCCGAATATGTTCAGTCGGGTCAGCTTATAATCTTGTGTTGACATACTGGATACCCATCGTGCTGGCAGCTTGCTCATGAGGAGTGTGTCAGTTAAGATTGACTGTGTCGATGCCAGTAATGTCAGCGACATGTTGAATTGTAGCACGTGTACCATGGTAGTTCGGCAGATTATTGAACAATCGTTCCAATGGTGAAACAAGCAACATAATTGGTACGATTATGCTAAACTGAAATAGTTCTCCTACTTTAAAATCCGAGCCTGAACGTCGTTTAAAGGTACTTTTAATTATGCAGAAGCTTTTTTTTGTACTGAGTTTTGGCATATTTCATAAAAACACATGTCAAGGTATTACAACTGTTTTATCCCGAGTGCATTAGAGGTATGAGACACGTCATGATACTTTATGAAATCACAAGCATTTTTAGTACTTTATTCTTTTGTCATTTGATAAGGGTACTTGCATAGAGTTTTGCAACGGATAACATCTACATCTGCTGTGGTATTCTGTTTGGCACTGACACTTTGTCAGTTCAGGTGAATGGGAAGCCACCGGGTGTAATTCACATTATTGTTGGCAAAAAGATATGGCAAAAGTTCAGCTATTGTCTTACAATAAAGCTCAAAATGTGATTCTCTGAACAGCCTGACCAGTGTTAAAATATTGTCAGGACAAAGTGCCAGAACGGAAATTATGGACTCTGAAGTTTACGTCTGTTTAACCACTCTTTCAAATTCATCACTTTTCAGACATGTCAGTTTGCTGGGTATACAACTAGTGAATGATGTTGATATGAGCTTGGAGAAACTACATGCTGTTATTAGAGGAACTTGACGTGTCCAATCAAGACCTTAGCCTGACAGAAAGGAGGCTGCAGTTCCAGATGATGTCACTCCTGCTTCAGTGACAGCACTTGCACATGTCTTGAAGCAAGGTTCCAATTCGACCTCGATCTCGATGTGCTATCCACCAAACATGAGAACAAGCATACATTCCCCATACCACCCTGGCCAATGGCACTGGATCTGCTTAGCTCATGCCTAAATTGGTGGTCTGCAGTGATGACAGGTGCTAGAATTTGTCCATCGCACATTTAGTGGTTGCAACACAAGAGGCTTGGTCTCAAAATAGGGGCAATAAAGATGTGATGCTCACTTCATATTCTTGACTTTTTATGCATGATGAGCAGACTACGTTAAACAGTAGTAAACTTAGGTTCACTGTGTAAAGTATTTTTTTCACTTAAATAAATGAAGAATCAAGGGCCAAATCTGTTTAACTGTATTAACCTTTGCCGGATGACAGTGCCAGTTTCAAAGATATAAACATTAATTTATTCACTGGCGGCAATATGGAAACAATGGCGGCCATTTTGGATTTTCAAGTGTGCAACACATTTTGTTAAACAAGCAGCCCAAAGAGACTATTCATGCAAATGATGTTGCTTGTATCACCATTTAAACGATTCTGGTCAGTTCAGGTAACCCATGTGATGGGCAGCCTCCACTTCTGAGCTTCTGATTTGTGATCTCGAGGACGACCAGACCTGGGGACATAGTCTGTGTTTCTTCTTATCTCGCTTAAATCGAGCAGCCAATTTCTGCTGAATATGAAAAGCAGTCACCCCACATGTGCTTTTCATATCTTTGTGTGTTACTTTGGTTACAGGCAGATACTTAATCACAGGTCGTGAGACCTGCCAACTGTAAAAGGGGTAAAGTTACCTATCTGCCACTTGGTGTAATGTCTTCTAAGATATTTTACTCTTAATGGACTTGTTGAAACCTCGAATTAAACAAAGCAATATCTATGAGGCCTCGAGCTTTTCTACTTAGCCTGATGTGGTCACTATGGTCCTTTCATATAATTTCCACCGCTATGCTGCTTTATACGCCCGACTGAATATGTTTTGGCCGATTATGGAGCCTGGTTATTCTCTGGTCTTGACGTTTCCTGGTCGAGGCCTATGAGAACGATGGATTTACTTCTCAAAAACGATTCTTTCATTTTACCAGTTTTATGAAAGAATCGGATGTTCTATAACTGCTTTTGAGTAGTATATATGCAACATGCAATATACACTTTCGATTACTTTAATGAATCGAACAGCTATCCTCTTTCGTCCTCCAGGACTCGCAACGTAAATTATTTGCATCCACTGACAATTTGCTGGTCAAAAAATTCTTAGCCTGACTAACTTTCCACAATGGAACACAAAGTGAACTTGGCAATGGAGTATATTGTTTGAGCAGTTCATTGCAAGTGCATGTGGTTTGTTGAGGCCTTTGTATAGTAGTGACAGCCAATTGAGCGTGATAGGAATCCAAATTGTTACAGAAATTTAAAAGAACGAGTACCGAGCAGTCATCAAGTTTTGGACTTAAGAGAAGAGTACTCTCCAAAATATTCATGACCGCATGTCACAGGCGAATGGGCATAAGTGCCCTATTCCACTGTTAAACGTTTGGCAGCTTTGTTTAAGACTGGAAGAACAAGCGTTGATGATGACCCTAGGTCTGGACGTCGCTGAACTTCCATCAATGAAGATTCAGTCAGGGAGAAAAACGTATACTGTCAAATAGACGTTTTACCATTGCTGAACTTTAGGAAGACACGCGTCTAAGCCATGGATCCATTGAGATCTGCTCGTTGGGCGCCAAAGTTTCTTCATTCTGATTTTAAGGGAAAAAGAACTGACATTGTTGGTTAAAATTTAGAGCTTTTTGTAGAGGATATCATCAAATTCAAAAAGAGATCAGTAACGTGTGGGTCAACCACTGTGATCCCGAGCCAAAGCGCCAATCCATGGAATTCAAGTCTTCAGGAGAATGTTTTAGCCACTGTATTCTGGGAAGCATGATGTGTTACTTGTTGATTACTTAGAAATACGTCTTCAAAGACGATTACAGGTGCCGCCTATGCTGATTTGCGGAGAGATTATATCACAGAAAGGCAGCGAGGAATACTGACTGCTGGAGTTCAACAACTTCATGACAATGCCTCTTCTTACACGTCTCGAGGAGCTTCCTCACCCTCCATGCCTGTTTTCTAAGCTGAAAGAACACCTTCGTGGAAAGTGCCAAGACGACAACAATGACATCAAAGTGTTAAAGCTTTCGAACCTGAATATGACATGCAATAGAGTGATGAAACTATGAGTGAAGAAATATTGGTTACTCAATGAAAAATGTAATAACCCAATTAAAATAAAACCCTAGAGTAAACACTCAATTGCTCAAAAGGTCATCTTGTGGTACTCTGTCAAAAGTGTAGCGTTATCACAGAGGGGCGTGGCACGAAAGGTCAACCAGAACGAGTCGAATCAAACCCGGACGTTTTAACCTCATAGATTTTCCTCCATTCATAGACTTTCATCACGGGGTGGTGAAATATAATGTTCAAATTCGTTTATGAAATACATATGTGACGAAATAGACGATGCGCGTTTGATAATTAAGATGGATTACATTTGGTAAAACTATCCATCGGATGTATTTATATTGCCATCGTCACAAAACACTCAACAGGTACCGGACCCACAGTGTTGAGCTATAACACGTCAGCATGTCTGGGTAAGACAAACTAGTGGATGACGTAATGAGCAACATCCCATGCCAAGTATCAGAGTATTACCACTTCAAATATTCTCCTCTTACTACAAACATAGGTTACTGGGGATCTATTCCTACCCGGAAACCATGAAATCCAACATCGTGCTTACCGCATCCAACATGCTTACAGTTTAGTAATTGTTCATTTACATTAGGTAGGTGTTCTGCGAGTAGACAGTGTGCATTTGTTATCAGACTGATTTCGCTGTCAACCTTATACATAACCTCGGAGTGAATTAATAACAAAACCTCTCTTATTTATCTTAAAATAGTGTTTTACTCTCGCACACAAAAAAGAAACTATTTCACTATGGTCACTATTTGTATCAAGTTTGTAAACTAACTCTGGTACATGTGGCCTTTGTTCGTGAGTCAACTTCTCCTTCTAGATTATATGTCGAACTGGAAATGTAAGCAAGACGTACTTCATTCTTCTTAACATATAGATCAATTGCTCACAAAAGAAGTTAAAATCAACGTTCTTAACACGATAGCGCGTTAACATAACAATGAGAAATGAGACAAGTTAAGAAAGAGAATTTATTTCGTTATTGTGAGGAACACAACGTCTCGGAGCATATGCCTACTCCTTCATCGGGTGAATGATTAAGAATTAAGCATACAGTCCGAAACGTTCTGTCCCTGATAATAAAGAAGTTGACGTCTAGTGTCGATTACCAGATCCTTTTATACACCGACATTCGTCACTACTCGGCTCTATCCGTAAGCTATCGAGAGTATGGGTTCGTGTGCAATGCTCCGGTCGAGAGTCCGCGTCATTGTGGATGTGATATTGTGGAGTACAACTACCTGTATTTGAGTTATTCGTATCCAGGTAAGATTTTTGTAGAACTATGTGCTTCAATTTGAATTCATATGTAATGTCGAAGTACTGTATTTTAAGAGAGTTTCAATCGAACAAACACACCAAGAGAGTGTAGAGTGTCACTGGGTGAGGCTTGATAAGGTGTGCTGGCACTATATATATCTCGGTCTTCACTACTGTCTGTTTGTTTAAATTCACGGTTTAATATTTGATACCCATTCCTGTTGAAAACGTGATTTAAGGCCATATACGTTACTATTCTATGTCAATAAACCTAACTCTACCTCATTTCAAATATTACCAACTATGGTGTGTATAATGATTTATGTAATTGTAAGCGAGGTGAAATGGGATTGAACGTCGCGTGAAAGATAATTGCACTTTTATAGCGAAGTGCATGGACCTGTGTGTGTTGCTGCTCGTACTAGTCCGGAGATTCCATGCCGCAGTTTAACATCAATACCCCACTCAGACACAGTATACTGACTCCGGGCCGACAAGTCCTTGTTTTAGCCCCTTAATGCCAAGCGCCAGACAGGGTAACAACAAGTACCATGGTTTTACGTCTTTTGGTATGACGCGGCCGGGGATCGAACCCCGGACCTTCCGCTCTCCGGGTGGACGCTCTACCACAAGACCACGGCGGCGGTCCAAGAGTTGAAAAGGGTGAACTGGGGCGACAAACGGGATTGGATGGTCAAGCTCGCCGACTTGGCTCATGCATTTAATCGTATACCATGCTCATGATCTCAATCACTGGATTGTCTGGCCCAAACTCGACTATTTACAGACCGCCGTTAACAAACAAACAAAACTTTTTTTCTTACTTAATTGTGGTGGTTGCGGTGAGAAACTTCCAGACCTGGATCTGCGCATGTAAACAAACGAAAGACAGTACTGATAGTTCATGTTTTAAGATTGTTTGTTTTGTGGTAACGACATAATCAAACAACAATACAATACAATACAATACTATACAATACAATACACCCAACATGACCATATATGGAGTTATATACACCATTAAGACTTGCACTTTAAAATTACCAAAACAACGGGAATGCAGTGAACGAAGCTGAAGCTGCGGGTGCATTAAAACAGACACAAGAGACGCATGATATATCAACATCAACACTTATTTTTGTTCGTTACCACCGTGGGAGAAAATCTTTCACATTGCTTGAAGCCATAAATATACTCAACACGGTATTTCTCGGGAACGATGTGTCTGTTATCTCTTCCACAGGATATAATATGTTGGCCTACATTTAGGAGACCAACATTGCCAACTGTATTTTTAAGTAATCTACTTTGGAGATTTACTCTGAAGGTACATCTAAAAAGGCATAATTAGTTTTGTAAATTTTAAGACTATCAGTTTTCATCGCTCTGACTTTAAAATACCATTGTTTACTAAAATCTAGATCGAACCTTACAATGTATATTTATTTGGAACATGTTTATTTCTTATATATTTGGAACAGTAACAGCCGTATTGAAAATATAATCCAATTAGGATTTGCTTCAAAGGTACATCATTACATGCTGTGGTTAATGATTGGGTTTAATACATAGTCAATATCACTGTCAACAATCATAACTGTATGACGAATTTGATTATTCGACATTGATTCCGATCCTACCTACCCCGTAGACATTAGTTGTATGGTCAAACTACTGCAATTATTAAACTTAAAAGCGAAAAACCAAAAAGCCCTTTTCTAAAATATGTATCGGATTCAAATTATTTTCGATCGAAAAATGATATAGCCATCCTTTATCTTTATTATGCTATGGAGCAACCATAAATCCTGGTTCTTGTTGAGTTGGTTTGTTTGTTTGTTGTTTAACGCCGCCCTCAGCATTATTCCAGCTGTATGACGTCAGTCTGTAAATAAACCAGTCTGGACCAGACATTCCAGTGATTATTATCATGAGCATCGATCCATGCAATTGGAATCGATGGCATGCATCAACCAAGTCAGCGAGCCTGACCACCTTCTTATGACAAGCCTAGTCGCCTTTTACGGCTAGCATGGGTTGCTGAAGACCTTTTCTACCCCAGATCTGTACGGGTCTCTTGTTTAGTAAGACGCATCAACCACTATCATAACCCTCACTCGTCCTCTACTCCTTGCCCACCCTCTAGATTACTGCACCCCTAAACATACACATATAATGTAGCTGACATTATTTATTTCAACAAATATATATCTTTCACAGTGAACATTGGAGCGGCCTGAACTCTGATTGTCTGAAACAGACATCATAACACCAATAAGCGAGCTGCGTGATCAAAAGGAAATTATGAACCCATCTGTTCATTCAACCAAACATTACAAAGCGCCTATTCTTGAAACCACTGATATGAATGCTTCCCAATTGTTATCGTCGTGTGGCAAAAATACATAAGACACTCAAATCAGTGTTGAAGAGGAAGGTGCAGACGAACTTCAGCATTCTGAAGAGAGAAAAAAATATCTGTGCGTGGTGTTCCCAGTGACACTTCTGACATGGACCAGTCCTCACTGGATGAAAAATATAAAGAATTTATTAAAGATTTGAAATATGGGTCAATTGATAGCATGTTAGAAAGATCATATGTTGTGACACCTTTTATTTCTCTTCGTGATCATTTCACTGAAAGAGCAAGAGATGAAGCAACAGCACCTGATGAAGAAATGAGGTTTGAAGGTTTGCGTTTGAAGTCTTTTGACCAAGTGAACATGAACGTCTCATATCTTCAACTGGCAAAAGCAGGGTTCTATGCTACAGGTGATGGTGATGAGACTCAGTGTTTCAGTTGTGGTGTCACCCACAAGAATTGGCATCCGAAGGACAACCCGCATAACCTGCATTCAAGGAAGTCTCCAAACTGCATCCATATAACTGGCACTGATGCAAGAAATGTGCCTATTCACATGCCAGCAGTAAGTGATGGAAGTCATGCGCCACAAGTCAGAAACTGGAGTACTCATGAGACCCAGCAGCTTAAAGAGTCGAGTGTGTGTAAGGTCTGTCTGGAGCGCCCTGCCAACATCGTCCTCCTTCCCTGTGGACATCTGGTGGCTTGTGCCGTGTGCACACCTGCTCTAGAATGTTGTCCAGTCTGCAGGACACATATCCGGGGGAAAGTCTGTGTCGATCTGGCACTTATGGTTTCCCGAGAGAAAGAAATTGAATAACTCAATGTGAACTGAAATCAAAATCAAAGGATTTCTGCACTTAATTTATGTCGTCTTAATCACCTTTGGGAATGTCTCATTTGCTCACCTGCCATCGAACGTTGTCCACTCTGCAGAACCCACATCATATGGCAGAGAGTGTTTCTGAAGTGCATATGACACTACCGTATCTACGGGTTGGTGATGAAATAACGACAATGCCACCTTTGATCTAGCTATTTTAGTTCTGTTCTTTTTGACAAAATCATTCAGATAGAAATGAAGAATTTGTCAATAGATTTGCATGAACAGTGAGCAGAGAAAATAGAATACACTTTGTCTCATATACCACAAAACCCCTTTAGCATATGCATACCTGGTAGTTGTCATCTGACACATGTGGCACCAGGATATGGTGTTAATATTCATATTTTGATTGCTGGAAACAAACTAGGATTGTGAACAGTGTCATCTTTTCTATGTACTTACATTATATGATTTGCTTATCATACAAACAACAAGGGGGTACGGGTGGCCCAGTCGTATAAGGCGCCGCGAGTCGCTGTGCAGAGAAGCGTCCCTTGATTGTTGGGTCGAATTCCGGTTCGCCCTGATTATGTTTCTGGGTTTGTCAGCACCATATCCGTGATCAAGGGTTTCACCAAAATGGTAAACGTCTGAGACCTGCATCACTTCGGGCTTTCCTCCTATATATACAGAATATATATCCTATCCTTATACATGTACATCTATATTATTTGCTAAACTCAAAGAAGCATAAGTAACATTGGTAGGAGTTGCAGATGCAATGTATCAAGACATATGTCTATAATTGCAAAAGTGATGCACGATCGCCAGAGTATTTTTGTCGACTTTAATGAAGTGAATGAAAAGTTTGTCGTTGCTGCAGTGATGTAAATGTGTAAAAGCATAGGCAGCGGTCAAAGGTCAACAAGAAAAAAAATCACAAAACTGGCATTTTGAAAACTTTGTTTGTGTGCTGCTGTGGCGTATTTGTATTTAGATCTTGTCATCAGTGTAATAATGACTGAACTGATATAGCATTGATACATCAGTTATATCTTCACTATATGCAAATATACAATATATGTCAACAGATTTACAGATCAGTGACTTCAGTTAAAAAGGATACAGGACAGGGTTCAAGTTGCTGTTATTGCTTATTGTTCAAGCTTGTTTAATGGTATCTGTTAGACATACTTACGCTGTATAAGTCTAGCTGCTAATTTCTTACTTTAAATCAATCCTTAATTCTTTGTTTTCAGTAATAGCCTCCTACCTTGATCCATTGTGTGATCTGAGTGGTCCTAATTGAGTATTGCTCATTTACCTTGTTATAAGTGTTGTATCTTGATTGTAATTTCCTGGTGTTAATAAATCATTTAACTATCGGTTGGTTTATCATTGTCAATGCGTCTTGATGCAAACGGTATTTTCAACTTATCCCCCGTGGGGGCCCGGGGTAGATAGGAATGTATCCTCAGCACCCCATTGCTGGACGTAAAAGGCGACCGAATTGGGAAACCCGTTTGCCATGGGCTGCGCCCCTGTGTCGGTGAAGAAACAGAGTCTGGTGCTTGAGGGTGCCGGACCAGGCAATAGTGCGCCTTTTACCAAAGAGATCATTAGAGACAGGGACCCTTTGAGTTGAAGCAGAATTAGAAAGTCAAAGTGTAACGAATGTCCAAGAATGTCTAAGCGAAATGGAGAAACTGTACAAACAAACATACACTTACTTCCGTTTTCATAGCCTAAACACCCTAAATGTATCAAAGCAGGATGCTGTAACATCGCAGTGGAACAATACATTCAAAATCTACTTCGATGCTGGCCTGGATGTGTTCCCAATTGCATTTGTTTAATTCTTGACTTCAGTGTATGGGTTTTCAAGTAAATAAATTACACTTTCCTAAATAATCAAATTACCTTAACTATGAATAGAGGAATAATTACATGTATTCCGAAACAGAACACTTTTTTCAGAGGTCCAAGATTATTGCACTTATATAGCGACGTGCATGCACATGCCTTAGCGCGAGGTTCCAAATTATAATAAAGAGGTGTCTATTCTACAGTGGGACTACATCAAATTTCAAAACACAGTAGGTTTATCTCCATTCTACCATGACGACAACAACGCTTTGAAAACGGCGCTCTCATGCAACGCGTAACAACACAGAATCTTAGAACATTCCGAAAAGAGGTCACAGGTAGTTATATATGTAACAAATATAACTAAAGTTCAAGATTAGTCGTGAGTGGTTCAAAATAAGTGTTCAAAACACATAGTTTTTCAAAAAGAAGTTGACAGAAAACACTCCAAACTTAGTCCAAAGACAGATGTTTGAATTTCTACCAACTTGTTGTACACTGTTGTACACTGTGGACTGACTGTCAATTCTTGGAAGTTGCGAGAGAGGTTATTTCTTGGAAATCGAACATGCTATGATTGCTATTGTAGGGGTGACAGGTTGTAGAAAAAGGTTTTAAAATGCTAAACGAATATATTTTTGTATTATTTTTTTTTTAAATTAACGTTCTACTGTACATTTAACATGTGTAAGTGTTATTAGTTAGTTAGCAATTACCCCCAGTTAACAATAATAACATCAAAATAAATGCCTCTCCACCCCGAACTTGGATGTGGCAGAACTTGACCTACATCACGGTTACTAATATCTCGCAGCTGTCAATGGCTGAAAATCTTGTGTTTACATTCTCCGTTGCTTGTTAAAAGAAGCAATATGACAACCCAGATCTATGATGTGGTTCAACATTAACCTGTAGATTTACTGGGAATGATCGAGCCCGCTGGTACAATATGATTACCAATGGAACTGAGTATGACTCAACAGCCGCGTTTTAGCCTGCAGCTAGACGAGCCTGACATTTTTACACGAGGTAGGGCCTATCTCAGTATCGGGATTGCCTAAAAGTCGGGCCAAGAAAAGTCGGGCCGGGCCGGGCCAGCGGGTAATACTAAAAATGGATTGCAGAATAATAAAACGAAACGCGCATATCTAGGCAGATCTCAAATGTCCACAAACGTATAGTTTTGCTCATTTAATTGAGTTTGAATAAAAATGCACCTTCAACAATGTAATTAACTGATGATTATGACTACATACCGTGAGTCTCGTAGAAAAGTCAGCGTCTTGACTGTGTATTCTTTGATTAGAATGCTTCTCACCGACCTTAGCGTGTAGGGGTGTGATGTCCTGGGCAGGAAACGACAGTGTTTTGACTACTCTTCTTTCATTAATTAACGTGTTTAGGTAATTAACCTTTACTAATTCGTGTTAAACCAACACAGGATGTTTTCTGGAAATGGATATTCTCGAATGTCAAAAGACTGACACGACACGTGTTAATAACTGTCCAAGCACTTCTAAAGTTCCTAACATTATTTATATCTAAACACTAGTATTTTATCTAATTATTTACCACTTTATTGTCTCATATTTCAGTAGTTAAAGAAAACACAGAACTCAAAGTGAAGCCCTTTTCCCTCTACATTCTCAACATAGTCTCTATCAGAAGTGTTTGGCTTGTGTTGGGTCCGACTTGGCCCGGGCGGTCAAAATCAACTTTAAACACACAGATGTAACTTCAAATGTGATTAAATCTATAGATTAGTGTTATATCTACCTATACACCAATTTATAATGTCCAGGTGTATCGCATTTAAAGAAATCTGCGCCCTTAAAGTGAAGCATTTTTACTGTATTTTCTTTAAAAAATCCAAGTCAGAAATGTTCGGTCCGACCTGGCCCGGGCTGTTAAAATCAACTTAAACCTCACAGATGTATCATCAAGTGGATTCACATCTATAGATTAGTATTATATCTACCTATACACCACTTTATAATGTCACAGATTGCAGTATTTATAGACAACAAGGGGCTCGAAAGTGAAGCCCTTTTCCCTCTACATTCTCAACATAGTCTCTATCAGAAGTGTTTGGCTTGTGTTGGGTCCGACTTGGCCCGGGCGGTCAAAATCAACTTTAAACACACAGATGTATCTTCAAATGTGACTAAGTCTATAGATTAGTGTAATATCTACCTATACACCAATTTATAATGTCACAGATTGCAGTATTTATAGAAGACATGGGGCTTAAAGTGAAGCCCTTTTCCCCTCTACATTCTCAACATAGTCTCTATCAGAAGTGTTTGGCTTGTGTTGGGTCCGACCTGGCCCGGGCGGTCAAAATCAACTTTAAACACACAGATGTATCTTCAAATGTGATTAAATCTATAGATTAGTGTTATATCTACCTATACACCAATTTATAATGTCACAGATCGCAGTATTAATAGAAGACATGGGGCTTAAAGTGAAGCCCTTTTCCCCTCTACATTCTCAACATAGTCTCTATCAGAAGTGTTTGGCTTGTGTTGGGTCCGACTTGGCCCGGGCGGTCAAAATCAACTTTAAACACACAGATGTATCTTCAAATGTGACTTAATCTATAGATTAGTGTTATATCTACCTATACACCAATTTATAATGTCCAGGTGTATCGCATTTAAAGAAATCTGCGCCCTTAAAGTGAAGCATTTTTACTGTATTTTCTTTAAAAAATCCAAGTCAGAAATGTTCGGTCCGACCTGGCCCGGGCTGTTAAAATCAACTTAAACCTCACAGATGTATCATCAAATGTATTCACATCTATAGATTAGTATTATATCAACCTATACACCACTTTATAATGTCACAGATTGCAGTCTTTATAGACAACAAGGGGCTCGAAAGTGAAGCCCTTTTCCCTCTACATTCTCAACATAGTCTCTATCAGAAGTGTTTGGCTTGTGTTGGGTCCGACTTGGCCCGGGCGGTCAAAATCAACTTTAAACACACAGATGTAACTTCAAATGTGATTAAATCTATAGATTAGTGTTATATCTACCTATACACCAATTTATAATGTCCAGGTGTATCGCATTTAAAGAAATCTGCGCCCTTAAAGTGAAGCATTTTTACTGTATTTTCTTTAAAAAATCCAAGTCAGAAATGTTCGGTCCGACTAGGCCCGGGCTGTTAAAATCAACTTAAACCTCACAGATGTATCATCAAATGGATTCACATCTATAGATTAGTATTATATCTACCTATACACCACTTTATAATGTCACAGATTGCAGTATTTATAGACAACAAGGGGCTCGAAAGTGAAGCCCTTTTCCCTCTACATTCTCAACATAGTCTCTATCAGAAGTGTTTGGCTTGTGTTGGGTCCGACTTGGCCCGGGCGGTCAAAATCAACTTTAAACACACAGATGTAACTTCAAATGTGATTAAATCTATAGATTAGTGTTATATCTACCTATACACCAATTTATAATGTCCAGGTGTATCGCATTTAAAGAAATCTGCGCCCTTAAAGTGAAGCATTTTTACTGTATTTTCTTTAAAAAATCCAAGTCAGAAATGTTCGGTCCGACCTGGCCCGGGCTGTTAAAATCAACTTAAACCTCACAGATGTATCATCAAATGGATTCACATCTATAGATTAGTATTATATCTACCTATACACCACTTTATAATGTCACAGATTGCAGTATTTATAGACAATAAGGGGCTCGAAAGTGAAGCCCTTTTCCCTCTACATTCTCAAC